TCTTTCCTCTCCACCCCACAGTCACCAACTAATTCAATCCCTCCCTGTATTTCACTGTATGGCAAAGACTAGCCATGCTTTTCTTAGCACTAGAAAGAAGCTCCCTGTTGCCAGCTGGGCAGATGTTTACAATGCAGCTCTAGAGCCCTGTCCTAGAACTCTACCATGCCACAACCATTCATTGTACCATGCAGATTGGAGCCTGGGATGGTTTTCCTGCACAATCCTTTTGAAAGAGTGCCTTGCCATCAGCCATCACTGCTGGTGCTCGAGAAAGGGAACTACGCTTGCTTGGGTGAGTGGGCGCTGCAGCTGCTGCACTGTGGAAGAGGCAATGGGGACATGGCAGAAGGGGGAAAGCATGGGGCTCTGCAGTACCCTCAGCATCCCTGCACTGATGACCCTTTGATCCTCTCCTGATGTCTCCAAGGGCACAGCTGCTCTTATACATTACAGCTCCTAGCTGGATGCCAGTGGCTCACACCTGTCACCCTAGCTGCTCAGGAGGCTGAGATTTGAGGATCGTCATTCAAAGCTAGCTTAAGCAGACAAACAGGAGAGACTCTTGTCTCCAATTAACCAACACAACGCTAGAAATGGAACTGCAGCTCAAGAGGGAGCACCACCTTGAGGGAAAAAACTAAGAGGGCAGCAGACAGGCCTTAAACTCAAGCCTAGTAGTGGCTCTAGAAAACAAACAAACAAATGTAGTTCCTCTGTGCCCTGGGGGAGCAAATAGAGTTTGTTCTCTTGGTAATTAACTGTTTGGTGCACAATACAAGAAGAGAGGAAGAGGGAGATTGAGATGAGATGAAGCCAGGCACCAGCGGCTCACGCCTGTAATCCTAACTGATCTGGAGGCTGAGACCTGAGGATCGAAGTGAGAAGCCAGCCCAAGCAGGAAATAGGAGAGTCTCATCTCCACCAAACTCCCTAAAAAGCTGGAAGTTCAGTAGTAGAGCACTAGCCTTGCGCAAGCTCAGGGACAATACCCATATCCTGAGTTCAAATCCCAGGACCAGCACACACACAAAGAATAAATAGAAAGAACAAATCAGAGTTGCATGCATGAAGAGCAAAGGCCTGGGCCCAGTCCCAGTGTGCTGAGGAAGGGCATCCCCCCTTCTCCCCTCCCCCCCCCACCACTTCAGACTAGCAAGGACTGCTTCCCAGGAGGTAGAGGCTGCTCCCAGGTCTGTTTCCATGACAACAGCATGAAGATTAGGTATGATCAACATCCTCAAAGATACCTGTTAGAGTAAATTAGACTTTGCCAGAAAACCATGCAGACAAAGAAAAGGTTTATTGCCTGGAGAGGGACCCACAAAATCCCTCCTCACAAGAGAGAAGCAGCTGACTATTGTATCCCGTGACCTTTTATAACCTACAAGGTTTAGGAGGCGGGGCCCCTGGTGTGGACGTGTGGATCAGGGGCTTCATCATGGCTGCTGCCCAAATAGTAGATAAGGGTTCTGCAGCTGCCCAGACCTGAAGGTCAACTTTAAGGGGCTCTTGTTGTCTTATATGGTGGTAGCTGCCCCAGAGAAGTGTCATCTCAAGGTAAAGAGGGTGGAGGCTGATTATCCACTGTTTTTACTAAATGGGCCTTCTGTTGCCTAGGAAAGGAGCATGCTAAGCTGTGGAAAGGGAGCTTATTGGGCTAAAAGACCTCTCTCGTGGCCTGCATTTCCTTCACTGCCACTGCTTGCAAGTAATTGATGACAGGGAAACCGTTGTGTTTGTACTGTGGCAGAATCACACTGTGGTCATTGATTCACTCGGGGAAGTGGCGCTGTGGCTCAAGTGGTAGAATGGTAGCCTTGAGCACAAAGAGGCTCAGAGACAGTGCCCAGGCTCTGAGTTCAAGCCCTAGGACTGGTAGACACACACACACACACACAGATTCAAACTCAGGGATTCGTGGCTCATGCCTGTAATCCTATCTACTTAAGAGACTGAGGATTAGTTCAAAACCAGGCCAGTGGGAAAAATCCAAGAGACTTTTATGGCCAATTAACCAGCAAAACGCCAGAAGTAGAGCTGTGACTCAAGTGGTAGAGCACCAGCCCTGAGCAAAAAAATTCAAGGATAGCACCTAGGCCCTGAGTTCAAGCCCCAGAACTGGCACACACACACACACAAATCCACCAGAGAAAAGTTGCTACATACACAACTCCCCTTTGCTTCTGGCTCTGGATACTATCTCCCCACAATCTACCCACCTGCTGAGTCTACATTAGGCCCCTAATCCCTTATGCCTTCTGGGATCCAGCCTAATACACAGGTACTAGCGTATCTAAATAGTTGAAGCTATGGCTTAGATCTAAAATGTTCACCCCAAAGTCTTAGGTGAGGGCTTTGAACTCAGCAGGTAGTGTCCTTTCCACTTTAGAAGTGGGGAATCTCACTGGAGGAAATGAATCCGTGGGGCAGGCCTTGCAACCACCTTCTCCCTGTCTCTACTTGTCTGTCCCTCTCCCCCTTCCTCTCTTCTTTTCTCTTTCCTCCTTCCCTTTTTCTCCCTTCCTTCCTCCATTCCTTTTTCCTCTTCTTCCTTTTCTCCCCTTCCTTACTCTTCTTTTTCCTATTTTTTTCATCTTTTTCTACTCTTCCTTTTTCTTCTTGTTCACGCTCTCTCCTCTCTCCCCATCTGTTTCTCTCCTTCCTGACCATGATAAGATGAAAACCATGTCTCGTCTCTCTGTGTCTCTCTTTCTCCTTCCTGACCACCAGAAGGTGAAGAACTTCCTTCACCATGCACCTCCCCACCTCCATATTCTGTCTTCAGTAGTCTGTGTCTTCCAGCAACACTGGAGGGCAAAGCAGCTCCAAGTGATGGCGTGTCCCCAGCTGCAACATAGATGGCCTATCTGAGCCACAGTGGCAAATGTGTAACATAACGCTCAACATCCTGTTCAAACCAAAGCTCAACCTCAGCAGCTCATTTAACTATGAGAATTTAGTGCAATCTTGATGAGAATGTTATGACTAGCCAGGCACCTGTGACTCACCCACATTTCAAACTGTAATCCTCAGATCTCAGCCTCCTGAGTATCTCGGGTTACAGGAGTGAGAAACTGGCACCCAGTTTATCATTTCTTTTTCAGTCTCCCACTTCTTTCTTCTCCCAGACAGGGAACTTCACTGTGTATGTGGCATCTTCTGTTACCTCCCATCATTAATACTGGATAAAGGGTGGGTTTTGTATGCAGGTTCTGAGTAGCTGGGATTACAGGCATGTACTGGTGCCCAGTCTGCTAATGGCTTTTTACCACCTGCCCCCTACTCCACATCTCAGCAAACATTGCATGCAGTAGATTGCAGAATCCCGGGCATCAGTCTGCATTTTATTTTACAGTACATTCATGGAAGTTCCCGCATTGCCAAGGTAACCAGATCACATTCAGATTAGCAGTGCTGACACAACCACTACACCATTGCCCTGACTTCCAGAACCACAGGGGTGACGCACAGAACCACAGCTTTCTTTTTAATACTGCCGATGACAATACAGACATCTACAATCGTGACCTGTATGATCCAGTGTGAGCCAAAATTAAATCTTGGAGGACAGAGGGGGAAAGACAAGTTCTAAAGCCCCCTAAAATTCCCCAATGCCACCTGTGTTTTGTGAAAGGGGGAGTGTTCATTTTCCATGCCTACCTAGAGAAGGAATGAAAAATGAGTCATGCTACTCTGTAAGTCATAGCTTTTCAAGCTATTTGTGTAAAAAGCAATTGAACAACCTAAAATGTTTTAAAAGGAGTTAATATGTATAAATAAGTTAATATGTATAAATAAGGAATAGCAATATACGGATCACCTGGGGGGAAAAATACTGTCACTGATGGAAAATTTAAGTGGTAGACATTTCACAAAAATGGAAAATGATGGATCACAGCTGGGAATGTCAGGTCCTGAAAGTATAAAAAACTTCATTTTGCTGAATTAAAACCTTCCGTCCACACCGTTCTCTACAAGTCATCTTACACCACTGCCCATCTGATATAGATCACCAATAAACCCAAGCCTTAAATTAGGATACTAGCCTGAAATTTAACATTGTCAAAGAACATCCAGATGTGAGAAAACACCATAAGTTAGCTTTCTTGACCATCTTGCTAAAGAAAAATGTATCAGCTGAGTGGAGCTGTGGCTCAAGTGGCTCCAGCATGAAAATTCAGGGACAGCACCCAGGCCCTGAGTTCAAGTCCCAGAACTGGCATCAGGGGGAAAAAAAGTATCAGCTGAGCTTCATAGCTCGTGCCTATAATCCCTGCTCTTAGGAAGCTGAGGCAGGTGTACTGTGAGCTTGAGGCTAGCCTAGACTGAGACCCTCCCTCTCCTAAAAAAAATAAAGATCCTAAAATGCTTTAGACTTCAGTGAAATAGCTGGAATGATGAGTTACTGAAGATGAAATCCACATCTGAAGACAGAGTGTGCTCACCTAACATCTGTCTCCTAGATGTTCAAAGTGGGTTAGTACTGTACTTTATTGTGTAAACCAAACTTGCTGTTTGTTACCACTCATGGTCACTGAGTCCCAACTGCTCAACTTTTCAGAGTAGTCTCTGGCCAAGAAACTACTGAATATTGAAGTTGCCAGGTTCTGGACTCAAGTGATACACATGGTTATTGATCCTGAAATACTCACCCCCATTCAAGTCAGAAAAACAAGATGAAAAAGGGAATAAAACACACGTGTGTGTGTGTGTGTGTGTGTGTGTGTGTCTGTGTGCGCGCGTGTGTATGTGCGTGCCAGTACTGAGGTTTGCACTCAGAACCTAGGCACTGTCCCTTAGCTTTTTCTAGCTCTACCACTTGAGCCACAGCTCTACTTCTGGCTTTCTGCTGCCTAGTGAGAGATAAGAGTCTCACGAACTTTCCTGCCAGGGTTGGCTTTCAACTTCAATCCTTCAGATTGCAGCCTTGAGTAGCTAAGATTACAGGCACAAGCCACCGGCACACAACAAAATACTTTTAAGAAAGTCACAAACAATGAAGAGCCAGAGCCAGTGCATATTTTGCAACCCTGAAGTGAGCCCCCTGCTCAAGAGTGGTCAAAGGTGGAGTTTTTTGAAATCAGATTCTCAGTGTAAGTGCTTAACAGTAAATTCACAGAGGAAAATGTACAATATATCAACATATAACCAAAGTTTACAGTATATCTAGAAATACATTTTATGCTTTTAAAAAAAAAAAGCTACAACACACTCCAGAAAATTTTTTCAGATAATTCATGTACAACAGAAGGCACTGTTCCCACGTGGGTCCGCTGATTCTGCATGGCAAAATAACCTGAGACACACAGGCCTATTCAGTCCTCTAGAGGTCGTCTTGGGGCTTTCCAGCCTCTGGATGCTTTATCTTTTCCATGTAATGATTTCTGTGTTGCCTTTAATTTCATACACGACAGTAGCTGTTGAGAAATACATACTTCAAGGTGAGAAGGGCCAAAGGGGAAAGGGAGAGTAGATATGCCGGCACTGGGACCGCAGGGGGCACTCTGCAAAGCAGCTCCCTGCCTCCCTATCCTCGACCCTCACATGTCCACAGTCCAGTGTGAGATCAAATGCAGTGGTGACATTGGGACAGCTCTGATCCCGCCTTCAGTCACTGCTGGGCACTGTTCCAAAGTTAAAGGCCGAGAGGACACCTTTGTTTTCAAATGTGAAGCCTCCTTGCAGTTCAATCTTCTTCTTTGCCTCTAGCAATACCAAAAGAGAAGGGAGGGAAGAAACAATAGTACTTCAAGTGAGAGTCAAAAATAACTGTAACAGTTTTTTTCACAATAAAAAAAAAAAAAAAACTTAAAAAAAAATAACTGCAACAGCCGGGTGCCAATGACTCACACCTGTATTTCTAGCTACTCAGGAAGCTGAGATCTGATGAGCACAGTTCAAAGCCAGCTAGGGGAGGGGGGGAGCGGGGGAGGGGGGGGGCAGGAAAATCTGTGAGATTCTTATCTCTAATATAAACTACAGAAAACTGGAAGTGGCGCTGTGGCTCAAGTGGTAGAGCGCTCGCCTTGAGCTGAAGAGCTGAGGAACAGCACCCAGGCCCAGAGTTCAAGCCCACAACCAACCAAAAAAAAAAAACCACAACAAAAAACTGCAACAGAGCCATATGCGTGTGTGTGTGTGTGTGTGTGTGTGTGTGTGTGTGTGTGTGTGTTGCACACATGCTGGCCTGGATCATATCCCTGAACTTTTGTGCTTAAGGCTAGTGATCTCCCACTTTTGAGCTGCACCTCTATTTCTGTGTTTTTTTTTTCTCCTGCCCAGGCTGGCTTTGAACCGTGATCCTCAGATCTCAGTCTCCTGAGTAGCTAGGGTTACAGGTGTGAGCCACCAGAGCCCAGCAAGCCAGATTCTTTTTTTTTTTTGGGTCCAGTCGTGGGGCCTAAACTCTGGGCCTGGCGCTGTCCCTCAGCTCTTCGGCACAAGGCTAGCGCTCTACCACTTGAGCCACAGTCCCAGTTCTGGCTTTTTTCTTTTTGCTTATGTGGTGCTGAGGAATCGAACCCAGGGCCTCAGGCATGTAAGGCTAGCACTCTACCACTGAGCCACCTTCCCAGCCCCAGCAAGCCAGATTCTTTATGTACTTACAACTGGAACTTAAAGCATTAATTAACTACTAAACTGAATATCAACATTTTTTTTCCGTTTCCTTTTTTTTTCTGGTACTAGGACCTGAACTCAGGACCCCACTCTGACTCAGCAACTCTACCACCTGATCCAGGCCTTCAGCCCAGCCTTCTGCTGGTTAACTGGAGATGGGGGTCTCTCAGATTTTTCTGCCGGGACAATCATTGATCCTCGAGATTTCAGCCTCTTGGGTAACTAGGACTGTAGGCATGAGCCACCAGACCAACAGCCATATGTAATTACGATTACTATCATTGGAAAAACTGTTCGGAGCTGGACTCCAAGAGCTTCATGGTCTCTCCTGCTGAAAGGGCAGACAAAAACTGACACAGAATCTGACACTGTCTCCGCAGAGGAGTCCGAGTTCTCAACTCTTAACTGCCTAAATGATACTAAACAATCTGGTAATCACAGTCTTATCCACTGACAATCGAGGAATGGTTGTAATAATTTCAACTTAAGAGTCACCAACAAAGAACTTCTACTATGATTTGGATCTTAATTGTACTAAAGGCCCACATGTGACAGAACTGGTTATCAGTCCATGGCTATAATGAGAGGTAGTTGAGCTTTTAAGAGGAAGAGACAAGCTGGACACCAGATGCTCCCACCTGTAATCCTAGCTACTTAGGATGCTGAGATCTGAGGATCACAGTTCAGGGCCAGGCTAGGCAGGAAAGTTGGTGAGACCCTTACCTCCAAGTAACCACCAAAAAGCCAAAAGTAGAATTGTGGCTCAAGTGATAGAACACCATTCTTAAGCTAAAAAGCTCAGGATCCGTAGGCCCATACCCAAGCACACACTCATACCCACACCAAAAAAACAAAACAAACAAAAAAAAAACCATCTCTTCATTCAGAAGAGGCAGGAAGACTAAGAGTTCAAGGCTAGGGGTCTGGGAACATGGCTCAGTGGTAGAGCGCTTGCTTTGCTTGCTTGCCCTGGGTTCAATTCCTCAGCACCACATAAGCAAAAAAAAAGAAAAAAAAAGCCAGAAGTGACACTGTGGCTCAAGTGGTAGAGCACTAGCCTTGAGCTGAAGAGCTGAGGGACAGCACCCAGGCCCAGAGTTTAGGCCCCACGACCAGACCCAAAAAAAAAGAGTTCAAGGCTAGCCTGGTCTGACTACATATAGTGAGACCTATCTCAAATCACACCCAAACAAACAGTAACAAAAAAAGACTACCACACAACAAAGTCAACAGCCCCAGTGCTGGCCCTGGGGCTTGAACCAGGGCCCAGTGCCCCCACTTGCCAGTTTTGCTTAAAGCAGGCATTCTACCACTCAAGTCATAGCTCTATTTCCTGCTTTTTGGTGGTGAATTGAAGATAAAAATTTCATGGACTATCCTGCCTGCACTGGCTTCCAACTGTGATCCTGAGATCTCAGCCACCTGAATAGCTAGAGCCACTGGCACTCAGCCTTTCCACAGTCTGTTTTTTGTTTGTTTATGTGGTCCTGAGGAATCAAACCCAGGTCCCCATGCAGGCTAAGCAAGCACTCTACCACTAAACCACATTTATAGCCCTTCTCCCCAATTTTTAAAACTGTATTTTGGTGCCACCTAGCTCACTGAACAAGGATGAACTAGTGCTCTGACGTGCATGCAGGGCAGAGATGGCTGGCTGACCTGCCACTGTCCTCCGATGCTCTGCCAGTGTGTACACCTCCTGTAGTGTTCTCTTCTGGTCTTCGCTGAGAGGTGCCATCAGTAGTTGGTACCAAGCCACATCCCGATTCTGCACAGCTGCACCATGGCAGTGGTGGGGAAGAGGAGGAGAGAAGGAGAACAGTGATGATCATATCAGAGGAAAACTAGTGGCATGCAATTATTTCAGATGGTAAGAGACAGGGTAATAAAACCATCCTGACAAAGGATGATTGTATATGTGTATGTGCAGGTACTGGGGCTTGAACTCAGGACCCTGTGTTCTTGCTTAGCTTTTTCACTCATGTCTTCCACTTCATATCTGTCTGTTGGTGGTTAACTGGAGACAGGAGGTGAACAGAACTTTACTGCTCTGGCTGGATGTGAACCTTGATTCTCAGATCTCAGCCTTCTGGGTAGCTAGGATGACAGGCGTGAGCCACTGGTGCCTAGCTCCAAGGATGATTTACAAGTGCCCAACTATGTGGGGTATCAAGGGAAGGTTAGGACAGCACAGATCTCTAGTTTGCCTAATTCTGTCTTCTTCTGGGAGTTTTCCTAACTATTGTGTAGCCTCAAATGCAGACCTTAGCAAACCATGTCGGCACTTATTAACCTCTAACCTGGGCGCTCTCATTCCAGTCGCAGCAGCAGCACTGCTTGTGAACCCAAGAGGGTAAAATTGACCCTTAATATGATCAATCTTATAAGGACTCCAGGCATTCAGTGAGTCCACAGGGGGACCCTCTTGGGGGAGAATACAAAGCCACAATTTTTGCTTCTGTGCCTCTGATCATAGCCAATATTATTTATTGAAGTGGCAATAAGAGGTTCTTTGCCTTTGTTTGCTCATTTATCTGTCTTCGGGAGGGTAAAGGGAGGCACAGAAATGGAGGGACAAAGGGTGAACAAATGCAGCAGTGATACTCGCTGGATGCTATGTTGAAAATGAACTCTACAACTTGTGGATGAGAACAGGAAGTAAAAACTGGGAGAGAGTAAGAGAAGAGGTGACACTGTCCAAAAAGAAATGCACTCATTACCTGACTTATGTAACTGTAGCCCTCTGTACATCACCTTTATAGTAACAAAAAATTAAACGTTAAAAAAAATTTAATTGTCCTTTAGGCAGAATCCTCCCTTTCAGCACCTGGGCTTTGTTGCTTTGTTTGACCTCCAAACTTACCACAGACTCAGCACAAACGGCTACACTGAAAGTGCTCACCGCTGTCGCTCGCTCTGCATCTCCATTACGGGTTGTGCTTGTCTCCGAGGGAACCATGGCAAACCCCTTTCACACCAGAGGCCGTGCCCTGCCTCTTTCTTAATGTCCTCCACCTACACACTTCTCCCATCACATTTCATCCTCTTCTCCAGGGTCCTATTATTCCTGTTAGAAACCTCCTAGCTGGATGTAGTGACTCACACCAGGAGGCAGAGATCTGAGGATCATGGATCCAGCCAGCCAGGGCAGGAAAAGTCTGTGAGACTCTTGCCTCCAATTAACCACCAAAAACCTGGAAGTAGAGCTGTTGCTGCAGTAAATGGCAGAGTGCTAGCCTTGAGCAAAAAACCAAACAAGTGAGAGCATGAGGCCCTGAGTTCAAGCCCTAGTATCAGCACAAAGAAACAAACAAAAAAACAAAAAAGCCTAAATGTATTTTGGGCCAGATCCTAAAATAACTCCTAGCTGGAAGAAATTAAGCAAGTTTAGCGGAAAAAAAAAAATCTGAAGCCAAGAGCCACTGGCTCATGCCTATAATGCTAGCTACTCAGGAGGCTGACATCTAAGGATCATAGTTCAAAACCAGCCTGTGCAAGAAAGTCCATGAGACTCTTCTCTCCAATTAACCACCAGAAAATCAGAAGTGGAGCTGTGGCTGGAGTAGTAGAGCACTAGCCTTGAGCACAAAAGCTCAGGGATAACATGTAGGTGCCAAGTTCAAGGCCTGGCCCACACATACACACGCACATGCGCGTGCGTGCATGCGCGCGCACACAGAGTGAAAATTCACAGCATAAAAACATACTTAGCAGAGCTTGAGTGAAAAATTGATATTCATCCACACTATTGTCTAGGTCAAGCGGAGTGCTGAATCCTTCCAGGGCCGTCTCCTCCAGGATTTCCTCCTCCCAGTCCTCGTCTTCATCTTCCTCATCTGCACCTCGCCTATTCACAGACTGCATCGCCTGCACAGACACACTTTTCTCCTCCTCGTCACTGGAAATCTCCTCTGGAAATCAATCCATTCATGATTTAAAAGGAATCAAAGCACACAGTTCAAAATACAAAATAAGAAAGCAAAAGCAAGCACTATAAAATACTCTGGAAGTGGAAAAGCTACTGTATAATATCCCAAATCGCTGAGTATAGAATTTATCTTTACTGTAGTTTCCTAAAGTGACACAAAATGTCACTTCCCCACAGAAAACAATTTCCTAAAATCAGTTGTCTAGCTGAACGTTACTGAAAAATTACTAACAATACTGTCTAAGCCAGGTACTAGTGGTTCGCATCTATAATCCTAGCTATTCAGGAGGCTGAGATCTTAGGTTTGTGGTTCGAAGCCAGCCTGGGAAGGAAAATCTATAAGACTCTTATCTCCAATTAGCCATCAAAAAAAGCCAAAGTAACAATCCCACTTTTGGGCATTTACTCAAACGATCCCAAACAAGACTATATTAAAGCTACCAGCACAACTATGTTTATCGCAGCATTATTTACATATCTAAGATATAGAACTAACCCAGATGTCCCTCAGTAGATGAATGGATGAAGAAAATGTATATTTATACAATGGAATTCTATGCCTCCATCAGAAAGAATGATATAACCCCATTTGTTAGGAAATGGAAAGACTTGGAAAAAATTATATTAAGTGAAGTAAGCCAGGCCCAAAGAAACATAGGCACCATGGTTTCCCTTATTTGCAATAACTAGTGTAAGTCTAGGACAAGCAGAAAAGGTCAAAAATCTATGTACATATGACCATATAAGATGATGTTAAGTGAAATGAATCCCAAGATAGGGAAACAAGTGGGTTTTTTTCCTTCTTGCTATTGTTTGTAATGTATTTAAAATGTACTGTGATTTTTTGTGTGTGTTTTTGTTTTTTGTATGTTCTTTCCCCATGGTATAACCCCTGTTTTCACTGTATTTGATGTAGACGCCCTGCATCTTGTATATACATTTTTCTAATCTGGGGAGGGGAAGAGAAATAACAAAATGCTGAAATAAGGATACAGGATGACCCATTGTAACAATGAGATGCACCAGACACTATGTTGAAAACGACCTTTACAACTTGGGGCAGGGAGGGAGCTGGGAAGGTGGGGAGGGAAGGGATGCTAGAGGAAAACCAAAGGAGGAGGTAACAATGCTTGATAGGAAATGTACTCATTACCTTACTCATGTAACTATAACCCCTCTGTACAGTATTTTTACAATAAAAAAAAAATTTTTTTTAAAAAGCCAAAGTAGAACTCAAGTGGAAGAGGGCTAGCCTTGAGCAAAAAAGCTCGGGAACAATGCCCAGGCCCTGAGTTCAAGCCCCAGGATTGGCACACACAGACACACACAAAAAAAGGTTCTTCAAAAGTTATAAAATTATAAATACAAGATATATTTGTAGTTTAAATAATAATTTTATGATGAGATCTCAGTGTGTAACCTAGTCTAGCACTCGAAATTCTCATGCCTCAGCCTCCCAAGTGCTAGAACAAACAAAACAAAAAAATAACTTTTTAAGCCACATGTACCAACTAGTTATTTTTCTTGATATTTTTATATTTTAAAAATATTTTAAAAATATTTACTATTGGGGCTGGGAAGGTGGCTCAGTGGTAGAGCGCTTGCCTTGCATGCATGAGGCCCTGGGTTTGATTCCTCAGCACCACATAAGCAGGAAAAAATGCCAGAAGTGGCGCTGTGGCTCAAGTGGTAGAGCGCTAGCCTTGAGCTGAAGAGCTGAGGGACAGCGCCCAGGCCCAGAGTTCAGGTCCACAACTGAACCCCCCCCCCAAAAAAAATAAAAATTCAATTAAAAAAAATATTTACTATTGGCTGGGAATGTGGTTTACTGGTAGAGTACTTGCGTAGCATCCATGAAGCCCTGAATTTGATTCCTCACTACCACATACACAGAAAAGGCCAGAAGTGGCACTGTGAATCAAGTGGTAGAAGTAGAATGCTAGAAACTCAGGGGCCAGGCGCTGGTGGCTCACGCCTGTAATCCTAGCTACTCAGGAGGCTGAGATTTGAGGATCGCGGTTCAAAGCCAGCCAGGGCAGCAAAGTCTGTGAGACTCTTATCTCCAATAAACCACCAGAAAACCATAAGTGGCGCTGTGGCTCAAGCAGTAGAGTGCTCACCTTGAGCTGAAGAGCACAGGGACAGCGACCAAGCCCAGATTTCAAGCCCCATAGCCGACCAAAAAAAAAAAAAACAACTCAGGAACAGTGCCCCAGGACTGCCAAAAAAAAAAATCTTTCATGGCCTCTTGCTCTCTCCCTTTTCTTTTTTGATCAAGGCTAGCACTCTACCACTTGAGCCACAGCTCTACTTCTGGCTTTTTGGTGGTTAATTGGTGGTAAGAGTGTCTCAGACTTTCCTGCCTGGGCTGGCTTCAAACCATGATCCTCAGATCTCAACCTCCTGAACAGCTAGGGTTACAAGCACAAGCCACCAGTGGCCTGACTTATAGTATTTCTGATGGGAGAAGTGATCTCTTCATGTGGACTTGGTTGGTGGTATTGGAGATTGAATCTAGATCCTCGAGATTGCTTGGCAGGTGCTCTACTACTTAAACCATACCTCAGCATTTGGGCATTTCTGAGTAGTTCCTATTAATTGTGAAGACATATGAATTCTCAATGGGAGGTCATGTCATTTTTACAACACATGGATTGGGTATACAATCATTTCATCTCTCTCTCTTTTTTAATAAAAAGAAATTATGAGAGGCCTGCAGTTAAATAGCATTGTTTTCTTGTTTGGTTTTTTTTTTTGAGAGAGAGAGAGAGAGAGAGAGAGTGTGTGTGTGTGTGTATGTGTGTGTGTGTATGTGTGTGTGTACTGGTACTAAGACTTGAATTCAGGGCCTAGGCACTGTCCCTGCAATTCTTAGCTCAAGGCTAGCACTCTATCACTTGAGCCACAGCTCTACTTTTGGCTTTTTTAGTAATTAATTGGAGATAAAAGGGGCACAGACTTTCCTGCCTAGGCTTCAAACTGTGATCCTCAGATCTCAGCCTCCTGAATAGCTAGGATAACAATCATAAGCCACCAGCACCCATCTTGAAGAACCATTATTTTTAAATGATACAATCTCAACTACCTAAACTGTACTAAGTTCTGCTCTTAATCTAGTGGCTCCTACCTTAGTTCTGCTCTTAATCTAGTGGCTCCTACCTTAACTCTGCTAGCCCAGATAATAAAATACTAAATTGCTAACTTCATAGTCAAGACCACAGGATTCTGTTACAAATTTATTTCTCAAGGTGTAACAAGATCTACTAGACTCCATTTAAAAATTATTGAGGGTGGCTGAGAAGGTGGCTTAGTGGTAGAGTGCTTGCCTAGCATGCATGAAGCCCTGGGTTCAATTCCTCAGTACCACACACACAGAAAAAGCCAGAAGTGGCACTGTGGCTCAAGTGGTAGAGTGCTATTCTTGAGCCAAAGAATCTCAGGGACAGTGCCCAGACCCTGAGTTCAAGCCCCAGTACTGGCAAAAACATAAAATTATATATACATATATATATATTACAATTTACTTATATCAAGTACCAGTGGCACTTCATGGTTTGAAGCCAGCTAAGTCAAGAAAGTCCATGGGACTCAAATCTCCATTTAACCACCAAAAATCCCGACATTTTTGGAGCTGTGATTCAAGTGGTAGGGTGCTAGCCTGGAGCACAAACACTCAGGGATAGCACCCAGGATCTAAGTTCAAGCCCTAAGACCAGCACAAAAGAAAAAAAAAAATCTCTGATCTAAATTTATCCCACATGATCATAACAACAAAGGAAGCAAACTCAACATCCTTGTTAAATGTGTACTAGGTACACTACAAGTCAGCTGAGTGACTCCCAACGGAATAAATTCAAAGACAACAAAGCCTGGTAGAAGGCCACATGCCTGAATCACAGTACTCAGAAGGCAGAGGCAAGAGGATCTCAAGTTCCAGGACAACCTGGACTCCACTGAATGTTTAAGTACTACATAGTTAGACACAGTCTCAAAGAACTAGAAATAAAATAATGAAATAAAAGGATGAAAGGCGATAATAACATGACATGAATTCAGTCACAGCATGCATCACAAGTAGAAGGCGTTACCATTTTCTTCCAGATCATCTTTCTCTACTTTGGGGCGATCTTCATGGTTTACCAGTTGTCTAGAAGCACAGACTTGCTTTAGGCCAAGGAAGAGGAAAAGAATAGAGGGGATGATCTGCCCTGCTACAGCGTCCACAGCAGGAGGCCGGTTTTGTAACTCCAAGAGGACACTCAACCCTATTATACACATTTTCCGGTCATGGTGCCTGGAGGTTTTCAAAGGAAAAAAAAGAGACATGAGAAATGCAATAAAGGACAAAGCCCAAATGCCGAAATGTATACAAGGTTCCTGTGGGAATTACATAAAAATACTCCATGTTTTGTTACACAAAATTCTATGGATATCAAAATTTGTAAGCCAATAACTATCAGACCTAAGGGAAGCAGAGTGTCAGTGTCTCATGCCTATAATCCTAGCTACTCAGGAGGCTGAGATGTGAGGATCATAGTTCAAAGTCTGCCCAGGCAGGAAAGTCTGTGACTCTTCTCTCCAATAAACTACCCTCCAAAAGCACCAGAAGTGTATCTGTGGCTCAAGTTGTAGAGTGCTAGCCTTGGCAAAATGAAGCTTAAGGACAGTGCCCAGGCCCAGAATTCAAGTTCAAGGATTGGTGTGTGTACACACACACTCACACACACGCCTATGGGTGTCAGCAATTAATATGGTGAATCTTGCTGTAATACCAACTTACAATTGATGCAAATGCTGTACCTGAGTGTTGGTGTGATGAGTTTTATTAAAGTAAATGTAACTTTGCTTGACAAGAGAAAATTTCTATACAATAGAAAAAATATGAAGTGTCCAGACTTTTCCACCATGAGTTGTGGGTTTCCTGGTCTGTGTACTTTACACAAATCTCAGCTCCCCAAAAGGTGTTTCAAAAACTAAGTGTCACTGGGCACTGATGGCTCATACCTATAATCCTAGCTAATCAGGAGATGGTGATCTGAAAAGCACAGTTCAGTGCCAGCCCAGGCAGATAAATCTGAGAGACTCTTGATCTCCAATGAACCAGCAAAAAGCTGGAATTAAAGGTTTGACACAAATATGATAGTGCTGGCCTTGAGTGAAAAAGGGATAGTGCCTAGGCCCTGATATTAAGCCCCAGTACTGGCATGCACACACACGTGCTCTCTCTCTCTCTCTCTCTCTCTCACACACACACACACACACACACACACACACTCACACAATCTACAAGGCACATACCCAAGGAAATAGTCAGTGTCATTCATCCACTGGTTTATGAACTGTACGGTGATGGGCCCCGGGTGGGGAGGCAGCTGGATGTGCTCTAAGGTGTGCAGCAGCAGGTCAGGGTTATAGTACAGCGCAGCAATAGCCACCTGCAGACACATAGTGCGGAGCTCGCTCGTTTTCACCCCTCGAGTTAATCTCTCCAAGACAAGTTGAACAAAAAGTGGAATGCACTAGAAGACAAAGAGAAAATCAGAGGAAAGTATACTAGAAACTTCCAGAAAGGTGAATACAAGCAAAAGGTGGTATCAAAGAAGAGTCCTAATGACAATACAATGTTGGCTTCAATTGTTTCTAGTTATTTAATAGCTTTACATTCATGCCAGGTTCTAGTGGCTCACACTTGTAATCCTAGTTACTCAGGAAGCTGAGATCTGAAGATCACAGTTCAAAGCCAGCCTGGGCAAGAAAGTCTGTTGAGTTGGGTTTTTTTTGTTTGTTTGTTTTTGTTGGTCGTGGGGCTTGAACTCTGGGCCTAAGCGCTGTCCCTCAGCTCTTCAGCTCAAGGCTAGCGCTCTACCACTTGAGCTACAGCGCCACTTCTGGTTTTCTGGTGGTTTACTGAAGATAAAGAGTTTCACAGGGGCTAGGAAGGTGGCTCAGTGGTAGAGCGCTTGCCTTGCATGCATGAGGCCCTGAGTTCGATTCCTCAGCACCACATAAGCAAAAAAGAAAAAAGCCGAAAGTGGCGCTGTGGCTCAAGTGGTAGAGCACTAGCCTTGAGCTGAAGAGCTGAGGGACAGCACCCAGGCCCAGAGTTCAGGCCCCACAACCAGACCCAAAAAAAAAAAGTTTCACAGACTTTCCTGCCCGGGCTGGCTTTCACCCGCAGTCCTCAGATCTCAGCCTCCTGAGTAGCTGGAATTACAGGCATGAGCCACTGGTACCTGGCTTAGTCTGTGAGATTTTTATCTCCAAATACCACCAAAAAGCTGGAAGTAGAGCTGTGGCTCAAGTGGTAGAGTGCTAGTCATGAATGAAAAGTTCAGGACAGTGCCCAGGCTCTGAGTTCAAGTCTCAGGTTTGACAGGTGCACACACACAGCTTTGCATTCTCACAAAAACCAGAGAGATTTCAACAAGAGATGTCCTACATGTTCCTAGACTCTACTTCTTTTTTTGTACATGTGTATGTGAAGTGGCTCAAGTGATAATGCACTAGTCTTGAGTGAAAAAGCTCTGGGACAGTGCCCAGTCCCTGAGTTCAAGCCCCAGGACAAACATAAATAAATAAATAAACAAATAAGTTTTTAAAAAGCTAAGCAGGAACACAAATCCCGAGTTCAAGCCCTAGTATTGACACAAAAACAAAACAAAATAAAAACCTTGGAAAGACTTTAGAAAACAGGCTACAACATAGCTCAGCCCCAAACCCTGAATTTAAATTCCAGTACCAGTACCACTATGGATTTAGTAAGGGGATCACTCAATCTACTAGTGGCCTGGACATAACAATTATCTCTGTCCTCATGCAGGCACTGACAGAACCTTGTGCAGAGTGTGGACCCTGATTTATGACAGCAACGGCTCTGCTTCCCATTACAGCAATGATCATGCAGCCTCTGGCTCACAGAACTTCTCAGTGATTCTGAATATGATAACTACATATCATACATATCTGTATACAGAAAACACCTTATGAATGAGGGTTGGTTTTTTTTTTTTTTTTCCAAACTAAATTTTCTTCCTGACAATTAGTTTCTAGATCCTACAAAACCAGCCTGCAAGTAGGATGTAGCCCATAGGCCACAGTTTACCAACATCTGGATTATTGGGCAAGTCTGAGCCCCTAACATGGATCTGTTCGATAGTCCCATCAACTGCTACTCAAAATGCTCTACAATCCAAGCAAAGGGTAAACACCTCTACTGCCAATCAAGTTTAAACCTAACTACCTGCTTGGTTTTTGTTTAACATCAGTTTTTGCTTATGGTACTGGGACTCAAATTCAAGGCCTTGTGCTCCTGGCTTTTCCACTCAAGGCTGGTGCTCTACCACTTGAGCCAGCTCCACCTGCCATAATTTCTTTAGAACACAAAAATATAGGGGATGAGGACCCTCTGAAAATATCTAAAAAGTTCTTAGAGTCATATCAATTTTATTTGTATGGTGGCACATGCCTGTAATCCCAACACTCAGGAGGCAGAAGCAGGAAGATTACAAATATCATGCCAGCCTGGGCTACATGAGACCGTGTATGAAAAAAATGAATAAAAGATAATCCACAAATTGTGAGAAAATGTTTCCAAATTATATATGTCTGGTAAAGGACTTGAATCTACAATAAATACTGAACTCCACTAACTCAACTATGAAGAGACAAAAAAATGAAATAAAACTAAACAAGAATCCAATTAGTCATTTCTCTAGAGACAAAAAAAGATACTCAAGGGCTGGGAAGGTGGCTCAGTGGTAGAGCGCTTGCCTTGCATGTCTGAGGCCCTGGGTTCTATTCCTCAGCACCACATAAGCAAAAAAAAAAAAAAAAGCCGGAAGTGGCGTTGTGGCTCAAGTGGTAGAGCGCTAGCCTTGAGCTGAAGAGCTGAGGGACAGCGCCCAGGCCCAGAGTTCAGGCCCCACGACTGGACCCAAAAAAAAAAAAATCTCAGAATAAAATATCTAGGAATTAACCTAACCAAAGATGCAAAAGACCTATTTAATGAAAAAATCTAAAGAAAGAAAGCAAAGAAGATACCAGGAAATGGAAAGACCTTCCATGTGCATGTATAGGTAGAATCAATATTGTGAAAATGGCCACACTGCCAAAAACGATATACAAATTCAACACAATCCCCATCAAAATCCCAATGATGTTCTTTATGAAATAGAGAAAACAATCCAAAAATTCATATGGAACAACAAAAGGACTAGAATAGCCAAAGCAATTCTAGGCAAAAGAAGTAATGCACAATACCATATTTTAAGCTCTACTATACAGCCATAATAACAACTTGGGATTGGCACAAAAATAGACCCAAAGACCAATGGAATACATTAGAAGATCCAGAAATAATATAGCCAGCTGATATTTGACAAAGGAGCCAAAGACATACACTGGAAGAAACATAGCCTCTTCAACTATTGGTGCTGGGAAAACTGGGCAGCCACATGCAGAAAACTAAAAGTAGACCCTAGCCTATCAGCATGCACCAACATCAACTCAAAATGGATTAAAGATCTTAACATCAAACCTGAAACTCTGAAACTACTGCAGGACAGAGCAGTAGAGACACTAGAACTTATAGGCATAGGCAGGAACTTCCTGAACAGAATCCCAAGGTCAAAACAAATGGGAGAGAGACTCGACAAATGGACTACCTTAAATAAAGTTTCTGCACAGCTGAAGATGTAGCTGCCAAACTAGAAAGACAACCAATCAACTGCAAAAAAATATTTACCAACAACATATCAGACAAAGGCCTAACATCCATTATATACAGGGAACTCAAGAAACTAATCCCTCCCAAATCTAACAAACCAATCTTTTTGGAAGAAAAGATAAAAACGCCAAAGAAACACATGAGGAAATGTTCATCATCCCTGGCTGTAAAGGAAATGCAAATAAAAATAAATTTGAGCTACCACCTTACCCCAGTCAGAATGGCCCACATCCTAAAGCCAGCCAACGACAAATGCTGGAGGGGATGCAGAAGAGGAACCCTGTTTCAATACTGGTGGGAATGTACACTAATACTACCACTTTGGAAAGCAGTCTGGAGATTCCTCAGAAAGCTAAATATAGACCTCCCCTATGACCCAGCCATACCACTCCTACATCTACCCTGAGCAACAGGGACCAGGAAACAAGGACACATGCACCTCCATGTTCATTGCTGCATTGTTCACAATAGTCAAGATATGGAAACAACCCAGATACCCCACTACTGGTGAATGGATCTAAAAATTGTGGTACTTATATACAATGGAATATTATGCAGCCATTAGAAAGGAGAAAACAATAGCATTTGCAAGGAAATGGATGGAACTAGAACAAATAATGTTGAGAGAGGTAAGCCAAGATCAGAGACACAAATGGCACATGATCTCCCTGATATGCAGATGTTAAATCCAAAATGAAGGAGATATGACAAAGTACACAGGACTCAAGAAATAAAGGATCTCTTTTTAATTTGTCATATCATTTCTAGATGACCCCATGTTCTTCACCTCATATATGGTATATACATGTGTATATACCATATATAGGAAAAAGGCACAGAATCAGAGGAAAACATACAGCAGAGGGGCCCATCAGCTGCACTGGACATTGATGAAAGTGAACTAGAAACTCAAGGGCAGCGATGAGAGAGAAAGGGGGAATAGCTTATACTGAGCAAAAGGAAAGAAATGTACATATCACCCAATTTGGAAAAAATAGTGTCAAGGTATGTAGAGACAGTAAGCTTTATAGACCATGACAATAACAATGCACCTCATAAAGGTTAAAATGTGTTTGGCTTTAAGTATCACTACCCCACAATACTATGAATTTTATGAAATTTATGTAATCACTTAATCTCAATACAGAAAAAATACATAAAGAAAAAGATAAAAGAAAAAATATATGGAGCAAATATTACTGAACTAATAATTAAGACAAGCACTGTACCTCATGCCTGTGATCCTAGCTACTCAGGAGGCAGAGAACTAGAGGACCTTGGCTGGAAGTTAGTCTGGACAAAAAAAGTCTTAGAGGCCCCATTTCCAAGTAAGAAGCAAAAGTGCTGACTACAGACATGATCAGCCATGAGAAAAAGACTAAGCAAGAGCATGAGAGCCTAAGTCCAAGCCCCAGTACTGGCAAAAAAGCATAGCATGCCAAATACCAGTGGCTCACGCCTATAATCCTAGCTACTCAAGAGGCTGAGATCTGAGGATCACAGTTCAAAGCCATCCTGGGCAGGAAAGTCTGTGAGACTCTTATTCCAATTAACCACCAAAGAAGCCAGAAGGGGAGCTATGGCTCAAGTGGTTGAGTGCTAGCCTTGAGCAACAAGCTCAGAAACAATTCCCAGGTTCTGAGTTCAAACCTCAGGATCAGCACAGTAAATAAAAAGCCAAGCACTGGCTTGTAATGTAATCCTAGTTTCTCAAGAGAATGAGATCTAAGGATCACTGTTTGAAACCAGCCAGAGCAGAAAAATCTGTGAGACTCCTAGCTCCAATTAAACAGCAAAAAAAAAACAGAAGTAGACCTGAGGCTCAAGCAGTAGAGTACCAACCAGCCTTGAGTAGGAAAAGCTAAGGGACAGCACACAGGCATAAGCCCAACACTGGTATTAAAAAAAAAAATTGCAAATCACTAAGCACAATTTCCACATTTGTTTCTTCATCATCCTATGAACAGCTCCTTATTTCATATTTTTCTGTGCATTTAGTTCTCAGCTAGAATGCAAATTACAAGGCCTAGACTGTATGGCTTTTTGTCATTTGAATAGAATTTGCACAAGTCAGGAAAAGAAACAACAACAAAAAACGGTGGTGGGTTATCGCCTCAGTACTCCATCCAAACATAACCAAAATGTCAATCAGGCCTGTTGATGATAAACACAGATGTTGAGTAGGTTACTTCCCTCACATGCATTACCTGATCAATTCCCCTTCCTTTGCACTGAAGAATGATGACTTCCAGAAGCTTCGCTGCATGACATTCAGCATCTTCTCCTGCATCTCCACAGAGCACCTACAATAAAAGATAACTTGGCTCAGCACCAAGAATCATTGCATAAAATTCGTCAAAGGCTCTTAAAACAAGCATCCATATAAATTCAATCACAGGACTCAGCTTCACCCTAGTACCTGCTCACCCTGAAAAAGGGAAGCAAGAATACAACCCTGCTCTTTGCTCTAGTACCTAATTACATTCCTTGTTTGTTTATTATGGTATGTCAGTCCCGGGGCTTGAACTTTGGGCCTGGGCACTGTCCCTGAGCTATTTTGGTCAAGGCGAGCACTCTACCACTAGAGGCACAGCTTCACTTCTGGCTTTATTGGAGCTTAGTTGGAGATAAAGAGTCTCATGGACTTTATTGCCTAGAATGGCTTTGAACCATGATCCTCAGATCTCAGCCTCCTGAGAGGCTAGGATTACAGGTGTGAGCCACCAGTACCTGGCTTGTCTCTCTCTTAGCTTTTTCACTGAAGGCTGGCACTCTACTACTTAAGCCAAAACTCCCCCTTCCTGCTTTGGGCTAGTTAATTGGAGATAAAAGTCTCACCAACTTCCCTGCCTGGGCTGACTTCAAACCACCATCCTCGGGTCTCAGCCTCCTAAGTAGCTAGATTACAGGAGTGAGCCACAGTGCCTGGCTTAAATTGCTAAACATTTTAAGGAACAATGCAGAACATGTGACTTTCAAAATACAACAATCTAAACTTCATTTTGGAAATGCACACTCACAAATATAGGCTGATCAATGAATAGATGAAACATTTAAGAAATACATGGGGGAAGCTGGGCGCCAGTAGCTCACGCCTGTAATCCTAGCTACTCAGGAGGCTGAGATCTGAGGATCTCAGTTCTAAGCCAGCCCGGGGAAGGAAAGACCTTGAGACTCCTATCTCCAATAAACCACTAGAAAACCAAAATGGCACTGTAGCTCCAGTGGTAGAATGCTCGCCTTGAGCTGAAGAGCTGAGGAACAGCGTCCAGGCCCAGAGTTCAAGCCCCACAACCGACAAAAAAAAAAAAAAAAGAAGAAATACATGGGAGCTAGGAAGGTGGTTTGGTGGTAGAGTGCTTGCCAAGCATGCATGAAACCCTGGGTTCGATTCCTCAGTACTACTTAAATAGCAAAAGCTGGAATTGGCACTGTGGCTCAAGTGGTAGAGTGCTAGCCTTGAGCAAAAAGAAGCTCAGAGACAGTGCCCAGGCCTTGAGTTCAAGCCCCAGGACCAGCAAAAACAAAAACCAAAAAAACACAGAAATCTTAGTAAAGCATACTGTGACAAATGGCTAGGACATGCTTACCTTCCTACACATTGTGAAAAGGACTTCTAAATGTTTTGGATTTGACAGTAAAGTATTTGTATCTATTGTCACATAATTATGCAGGAGAGGCATCATATCTGGAAAAAAAATTTAAAAACCTGTCAGACTTCACAAGAGCAGGAGAAATAAATGATTCCCACTGAACCAATAGCTCTGTAGCAGCCACAAACCTAGAATTAAAGTAACAGACCAGCCCTATTCATGAATAAAGGCCTCAGGAGTCTGAAAGATGGAAATGCTCACCACTGTGGCCCAACTTCAAAATTGTTTCTTTCATCCTCACACTACAAGCTTCTGGCTTGTCTTCTGAGAGTTCCCCTCACCCTCCCTCCCTGAGCCCCCACTAAAATGTCAACTTCAGAAGTTCTACTGCTAGGTGCTGGTGGAAAATGTCTGTAATCCTAGCTACTCAGGAGGCTGAGATCTGAGGATCCAGGTTGTAAGAGTGGGGAAAGGAAAGTCCATGAGACTTTTTTTTTTTTTTTTTGGGTCCGGTCGTGGGGCCTGAACTCTGGGCCTGGGTGCTGTCCCTCAGCTCTTCATCTCAAGGCTAGCACTCTACCACTTGAGCCACAGCGCCACTTCCGGCTTTTTTCTTATGTGGTGCTAAGGAATTGAACCCAGGGCCTCGAGCATGCAAGGCAAGTGCTCTACCTCTGAGCCACCTTCCCAGCCCCTCCATGAGACTCTTATCTCCAATTAACCAGCAAAAAGCTAGAATCAGAAGTATGGCTGAAGTGGCAGAGCACTGGTCTTGAGTAGAAAAAGCCACACAAGGGAGTGAGGAAGGCCTGAGTTCAAGTCTCAGTACTAGCACTAAAACAACAACAACAAAAAAGAACAGGCTCCTGAAGTCCTTGCTAAGATTAAAGTTTAGAACATAGCTGGTATTCAAAAAGCATTTATGGGAAAGAGCTATGGCTCAAGTGGTAGAGCGCTAGCCTTGAGCAAAAGAAGCTCAAGGACAGTGCCTAGTCCCTGAGTTCAAGCCCCAGAACCAGCACCAAAAAGAAAAAAAAAAAAAGCATGTATGAAATTTCATGGAGAGATACTCTGCTAGTAAATTAACTTCAGATACAAGAAATCCCTCTGCCTCCACTGCCTGTATCTCCAGGCCCTTTACGTGACAGGAAAGAAAGAGTCGTTTCTGATTAGTACCAGAATCACATGAGTTTTTATTTCAGGTATCAAGGGAATTCATAGCTAAACACAGAAGACCAAAAATGTTCTAGGGCCCAAGCCATACCTGTAAAGTATTCAAAGCAATCCTGCTGAAAAACTTCATATAAAATACCTAGAAGCTGCCACATATGAGGGGAGATGGTGTGGCAGGTTAAACTATATGCCAGGGAAAGAATTTCTTCATAGAATTCTAGAAGGAAGAAAATCTCTAGTTAGCACAGTAGGAAAAAGCAAAAAGGCAGAGAACAAAGCTCACAGAAGAGAGTGTTTCTGAGCAGAGTGACTACAAGCAGCCATTGCTCAATCGTTTTTTTGTTGTTGTTATTTTTGTTTTTGTCAGTTATAGAGCTTGAACTCAGGGTCTAGGTACTGTCTCTGAGCTTTTGTGCTCAAGGCTAGCACTCTACCACTTTGAGCCACACTTCCACTTCTGGTTTTCTGGTGGTTTATTGGAGATTAAGAGTCTCATGGACTTTCCTGCCAGGGCTGGCTTTTAAACTGCAATCCTCAGATCTCAGGCTCCTGAGTTGCGAGAATTTCAGGTGTGAACCACCAGTGCTCAGCTTTCCTCAGTGTTTTAAGTACAGATCCACTTCTTCCTATTGCTCACCAAGACCACCCTTTACTCTGCCACCCAAGGCAAAACTTAGCTTTTGGTTGCTAGTGGCTCACACCTTTAATCCTTAGTTATTCAGGAGGCTGAGACCTGAGGATTATGATTCAAAGATAACCTTGTAAGGAAAGTTCTTGAGACTCTTGTCTGAAATTAACCAGCAAGAAACCAGAGTGGATCTGTGGCTTAAATGGTAAGGTACCACCAGCCTTGGGCAGAAAAGCTAAGGAAGTACACAAGTACATGTACAAGGAAGTACACACATACATGTCACACACACACACACACACTGAAAAATATGTCTCTGTCCTTAAAAGGTTCCAAGGTCAAAAATCCTTAATTGGGTATAAGTTTATTTCTGAATGAAAATATAAATATTGAACATTAGACAGTATATTCCAAAATTTAAGAGAAAGCAAGTTTCTCCTCAAAATTACACATCTTGTTAAATTTTAAAAGCTAATAATGTACTTTGATTTCCTCAAATTAAAAAATAAAATCTCAGTTTACCTTTATATTCACATGTTGAACTTACCAATTACATGTTTTTGTAAAACAAGATCAATAATCCGTAGACAGATATTCTCTAATTGCTGAGTAATCTAAAAGAAATTTTAAATATTTATTTTAAAATTCATCATGATGATCCTTTTTTTGGGGGTGGGAGTTGCTTTCGTTTTTGCCCCAACTCTGGGCCTGGGCAGCCCCTGAGCTTTTTTCTGTTCAAGGATAGCACTCTATCACTGAAGCCACAGCACCACAACTGGCTTTTTCTGTGATTAAATGGAGATAAGCCTGGGCAGGAACTCCAAGAGTTTCTTATGGCCAATAAACTACTACAGCTGGCTCATACCTGTAATCCTATTAAAGAGGCTGAGATGTTAGGATCCAGGTTTGAAGCCAACTGTGGCACAAAAGTCAATAAGATTCTTGTCTCCAATTAACCAACGAAAACCTAGAAGTGGAGCTGTGGCTCAAGGTGTAGAGCACCAGCCTTGAGTGAACATTTGCTAAGGGAGAGAGTATGAAGCCCTGAATTCAAGTCCCAGTACTATCAATCAATCAACCAACCAACCCATCCACAAACAAGATCTGTTGTGTAAAAAAGATGTTCACAATATAAACAAGTCCTACGCTTATAAACATATACTCAGAGCCAGGCACTGGTGGCTGACACCTGTAATCCTATCTACTCAGGAGGCTGAGGTTTGAGGATATCGGTTCAAAGCTAGCCCAAGCAGGAAAGTCTAAGACTCTTATTCCAATTAACCACCAGAAAACCAGAAATAGACTGTGGCTCAAGTGGTAGAGTGCTTACTTTGAGCTAAAGAGCTCAGGGACAGCACCCAGGCCCAGACTCACATACACACACACACATACAACCATGCTCAGAGCCAGGCTGTAATTCTAGCTACTCAGAAGGCTGAGATCTGAGGATCACAGTTCAAACAACCTGGACAGAAAAGTCCCCATGAGACTCTTATCTCCAATTAACTACTCAAAAACTGAGGTGGCACTGTGGCTCAAGTGGTGAAGTGCTAGCTTTGATCACAAAGAGGCTGAGAGACATCACCCACATCCTGAGTTCAAGCCCTACAACCAACAACAAAATAAATAAATAAAAATAAAATTAAAACATGTTCAGGTGAGCACTAACAGCTCTTGCCTGCAATCCTAGCTACTCAAGAGGCTGAGATCTAAAAATTATGGCTCAGGGGCTGGGAAGGTGGCTCAATGGTAGAGCGCTTGCCTTGCAAGCCTGAGGCCCTGGGTTCGATTCCTCAGCACCACATAAGCAAAAAGAAAAAAGCCGGAAGTGGCGCTGTGGCTCAAGTGGTAGAGTGCTAGCCTTGAGCTGAAGAGCTGAGGGACAGTGCCCAGGCCCAGGGTTCAGGCCCCACGACTGGACCCAAAAAAAAAAAAAAAAAATTATGGCTCAAAGTCAGCCCATAAAGGAAAGTCTATGAGACTCTTGTATCCAATTAAACACCAAAAGTCCAGAAGTAGAGCTGTGGATCAAGCGGTAGAGTGACAACCTTGAACAAAAAAGCTCAGGACAACATCCAGGTCCTAAGTTCAAGCCCCAGGACCAGCACAAAATATATTTTAAAAAACAACTATGTGGGCTGGGAAGATGGCTCAGTGGTAGAGCGCTTGCTTTGCATGCCTGAGGCCCTGGGTTCGATTCCTCAGCACCACATAAGCAAAAAAGAAAAAAGCCAGAAGTGGCGCTGGGGCTCAAGTGGTAGAGCGCTAGCCTTGAGCTGAAGAGCTGAAGGACAGTGCCCAGGCCCAGAGTTCAGGCAAAAACAAAAAACAACAACTATGTTTCATCTCACACATGGTAAGAGTACAAATTCAGTGCAACTTCAGCACTTCAGTCTCACAATGGTTAAAGCTATTGCCTGGGAGAAAAGAGCAAACATCTGGATTTTTGGAGTGTAGTTGGCACATGCCATCAAGGACAAGTTAGTAAGTCTTCAAATTCTGCTTATCTGTACAAAATGACATGTAAGAGACTATTCCTACCAGGCACCAGTGGCTCACTCCTGTAATCCTAGCTACTCAGGAAGCTGAGATCTGAGGATAACGATTCAAAGCCAACCCAGGCAGGAAAGTCTGTAAGACTCTTATCTCCAATAAACCAACAGAAAGCCAGAAGTGGCGCTGTAGCTCAAGTGGTAGAGCGCTCGCCTTGAGCTGAAGAGCTGAGGGACAGCACCCAGGCCCAGAGTTCAAGCCCCACAGCAGACAAAAAAAAAAAAAGAATACTCATTGAAACAATGCTTATGATTGTTAATAACCAAAGTTCCATTTAAACAAGGAACAAGTAAACAGTACAGATTACCTAAGAATACATTACATAAATTCATATAGAATTTTAGTGAGAAGTTTGACAGGATCACCAGGATAATTTTAAAAAATCAACTAAAAACTATAACTATGCTAGCTTTTTCATAAATGAAAAATATAGCTGGGTGTCAATGACTAATCCTAGTTACTTGGGAGGCTGAAGTAAGAGGACTGTGATTTCAGAGCAGCCCAAGCAGAAAAAAATTCAAGATCCTTCTCGATCTGTAGCTGGGCACAGCAAAACAGGCCTGTCACCCCAAGCTACATGGGCAGCTGAGAATGGGAGGATTCTGATTTAGGCCAGTGTGGGCAAATGTTCATGAGTATCATCTCCACAGAGAGAAGCTGCACCTTCCTGTGATAGAGCAATGGCAAGAAGCCAAGCAAGATGAATGATGGCTCTGGTGTGTAAAAGGAGGGAAGCAACACACTATTCTAAAAGCAGGGCTGGAGGTGTGGGTTAAGTAGTAGAGTGTTCTGAGTTCAAACCCTAGCACTTACAAAAAAAAAAAAAAAAAAGACAATAGTGGTTTATGCCTGTAATCCCAGATACAGAGGAGGCCAAGATCTGAGGATCACATTTTAAAGCCAGCCTAATTAACCACTAAAAAAGTCAGAAATAGAGGTGTGGCTCAAGTGGTAGCGTGCTAGCCTTGAGCAAAGCAGCTCAGTGACAGCACCCAGGCTCTGAGTTCAAACCCAGAACTGGCATGAAAAGAAGGAAAGAAAGAGAGGGGTACAGAGAAGAAGGGAGGGAGAGAAAGAGAGAAGAAGGGAGAGAGAAAAAAAAAGACAAATATACACAGTAATTTTAATTTTTGCTTATATAGTAACAGAAAACTCTGGAAGAATAAAAAGTAACTTGAAAAGGACTTAGATATCTGGAGAGGTAAATAACAAGGTTCACTAAATATCTTATCATATTTTCAAAACTATTTAACATACGTTTTTATTAAATACTTTGTGTGTCCCAGCAGCAGAACTTGAACCCAGGGCTCTATGCTTTTGCTTAGCTTTTTTGCTCAAGGCTGGAATTCTACCACTTGAGCCACATCTCTAATTCTGGCTTTTGGCTAGTTATTAGAGATAAGAATCTCTCAGAATTGTCTGTCTAAGCTAATTTTGAATCCTCAGATCTCAGCCTTCTGAGTAGCTGGGAATACCTGAGCCACCAGTGGCTGGCTTTATTAAAATACTTTTTTTTTCCCCCATCAGTTGTGGGGCTTGAACTCTGGGCCTGGGTGCTGTCCCTGTGCTCTTCAGCTCAAGGCAAGCACTCTGCCACTTGAGCCACAGCGCCACATCCAGTTTTCTGGTGGCTTACTGGAGATAAGAATCTCATGCACTTTCCTGCCCAGGCTGGCTTTGAACCGCAATCCTCAGATCTCAGCTTCCTCAGGAGCTAGGATTACAGATGTAAGCCACTGGCATCCAACTAAAATACCTTTAAATAAGAAAAACTTACAATCCCTCATGGGTTATAGTTTTCATTTAAATATCCAGTTTCAACTTTTGAGCACAGACTAATATTCAGTTAAAACTATTTGGTATTCTATTTTCTATTACTTTTTTATTTTTAATTGGCCCATAATATATATGTGTTTGTGTCTGTGTGTGTGCATATATATATACATATACATATGTATATTTGTAGAATGCCCTTTAATAATTTGATACATTAAACTATTAAAGTTCAAAGGACTGAATATTTCCCAATTTAAAAAATTGCCAAACTGGGCACTGGTAGCTCATGCTTGTAATACTAGCTACTTAGAAGGCTGAGTCACTGTCCCTGAGCTTTTATGCTCAAAGCTAACACTCTACCACTTGAGCCATAGCTCTACTTCCAGCTTTTTGCTGGTTAACTGGAGGTTAAGTCTCACAGTCTCTCCTGCCTGGTCTGGCTTCAAACTATGATCTTTCAGATCTCTGCATCTTGAGTAAACCTAACATTTTTAAAGCCAAGAAGCAATTTTCAAAGCTAAAACCTTAAAATTCATAACTACTAGTCATCTAAATTTCAGGTAACATGCTGTAAAACTCTCACCTCTTGATGATCTTCCACAACTGTTAAAATTGTATCAATGGTATGTAAAATTCCCATAGCCATTACTGTTTTGTCCTCAACTTCTTCATATTCATCACTTTGAAGAACTTTGCCAAATATTTCAGCCTATGAAATCACATTAAAATATTCAACAATTAGTACCATAACATCCCCACAGAAAAAAGGCAGTGAGTGCCACCTATCTAAATGCTGGCAGTATTCAGTCTTTTAATTCTGCATTTGGCTGACTGAACCCTCGATTTTTTGTTTTGTTTTGGGGTTTTTTTGTCAGTCGTGGGGCTTGAACTCTGGGCTTGGGCACTGTCCCTAAGCTCTTCAGCTCAAGGCTAGTGCTCTACTACTTGAGCCACAGCGCCACTTCTGGTTTTCTGATGGTTAACTGGAAGTAAGAGTTTCACAGACTTTCCTGCCCAGGCTGGCTTTGAACCATGATCCTCAGATCTCAGTCTCCTAAGTAGCTAGGATTACAGGTATGAGCCACCAATGCCCGGCTAGCCTCTTGTTCTTTACAACAAAACATATCATATTTTTAATTTATCCAGTTTCTCTAGTCTATTCATCAAAGTGAGACATACATTAGTTATTACAACCACTACCTAATATTTAACTTTTGATTATGATTAGGCAATAAAATCAACATTTAGAAAAATTAAAATCGAGTAACACTAAAAAGAAAACTGAAACTGGGTACTGGTGGTTCATTCTTATAATCCTAGCTAATCAGGAGGGACTGGGGTTTGAAGCCAGTCAGACTAGAAAAATCTGAGATGCTGATCTCTGATTATCAACCAAAAAGACAAAAGTGGAGCTATGATTCAAGTTGGCCAGCTTTGAGTGGAAAAGCTAAGAGACAGAGTATAGGCCCCACTTCAACCCTAATATCAGCACCAAGGAGAGAAAAAAAAAAGCAATGAGAGGAAAGAAAAAAAGAAAAAAAAACTGAGACAAGAAAGACACAGAAAAACAAAACAAAAAGAACAGACATGCACTTACACCTTTAATCCTAGCTATTCAGGAGGCTGAGATCTAAGGACCTTAGTTGGAAGCTAGCATGGGCAGAAAAGTCCTTGAGACTCTTATCTCCAATTAACTACAAAAAGCTGGAAGTAGAGCTGTGGTTCAAGTAGTAGAACACTAACCTTGAACAAAAAAGCTTAGTGACAGCACCCAGGCCTTAAGTTTAGGCCCGAGAACAACACTGCGGGGGGGAGGGGGGGGGCGATGACACACAAAACTAATAGGGTAATATGAAAAAAATCCCTAAAGGAAATTCTAGATTTGAAGTCCAGAAAATGGGAATTTATGTTAAATCAAGGCATATCAGTATGAAACTTCAGAAGATTTAAAAAATTATCCTAAATGTTACTAGATGTAAGTTAAATTAACATAAAAATACCATAATCAACTGAGCAAATATTTCCAGCTACAAGTCACTAAACTCCCAAAGGTGGAATTTAATTTTCAGATTATTCTAACCAGCATGACCTTTGCCCCATCTTACCAGGTTCTGGGTCATGTCCACAGCAATGGAAGCCACTTCCTGATTGTATTCACAGATCAGCTTCTGTATCACATTAGTGACATCATCATTTTCTGTCTCTCGAACAATGTGCAACAGTTCCTGCATAATTGGCCTCACGTGGGGCTTCATATATTCCTTAGCTAATATAGTAAAATACAAAATTAGTCATGCACAGAAGGTAAAGAAACTAAATTGGTCACAAGGTCCAATGACAAGTCACTATCCATCTAAACTTCAAGATGAGTACTTGCTCTGCAACAGATAAATCACAAAGCTATACCAAATCAGGCTTATCACTACAATGATTTCCTCACAGGTAACAGAAAGATAGCAATTCTTCCCAAGAAAGGACTGACCAATCCAGTTGCAGTGGCTTACACTTGTAATCCTAGCTACTCTGGAGGCTGAGATGTGAGCATATAAGTTAGAAGCCAGCCTTTGCAGGAAACTACACGATAGCAGGAAAAGCCCAGGAGAGCAACCTTGAGCAAAAAAGCTAAGAAACAGCAACCAGGCTCTGAATTCAAGCCCCAAAACTAGCAATTAAAAGAAAAAAAAAAAAAAAAAAGACTGTCCAGCCCCATTGCCACCGACTTCAGACTCAAAGGAGAATTCCTAATTATACATATGTTCTGTCATCAGCATGACCTGAAGAACATAAACATCATCAGTAATAATGATGAGTATTTTAAAAAAAAATTATGGGCTAGAAGGTGGCTCAGTGGTAGAGCGCTTGCCTTGCATGCCTGAGGCCCTGGGTTCGATTCCCCAGTACCACATAAGCAAAAAGAAAAAAAGCTGGAAGTGGTGCTGTGGTTCAAGTGGTATAGCGCTAGCCTTGAGCTGAAGAGCTGACGGACAGCGCCCAAGCCCAGAGTTCAGGCCCCACGACGGACACCACCCCCCAAAAAAAATTATGTAGCCAGGCCCCCAATGGCTCATGCCTATAGTAGCTACTCAGAAGGCTGAAGTCTAAGTATCATGGTTCAAAGCCAACTTGGGTAGGAAAGTCAGTGGAACTCATCACCAATTAAGCAAGAAAATCCATAAGTGGAGGTGTGGCTCAAGGGGTACTTCCTTGAGCAAAAGAGCTAAGGGAGAGCTTGAGGCCCAGGAGCAGCATAAAAACAAATACATGAATACATAAATACATAAATGCATGAATACATAAATAGGAACTGCAGTAAAAGGTGCTTTGGCTTACCCTGGATCTGGTTAGAAATTAATGACTGCAGGGCCAGGGCGGCTTCCACTTTGACAGGCATCTCTTTGTCTTCAATCAGGCTCTTCTTTGCTAACTCGACTGCACTTCCTAGGTTCTGTTCATTATGAAATTTCAAAGAACTAAAAGCATGCAGCACCCAGCAGGACTGTGTTCCCAAAAGAATCAAGGAAGGTAGCATCAGTACTAATGTTACACAGGTAAGAGCTCCATAGTAACACTTTACTTTTATTTCTAGAGTTACTAAAAAGATGGAGATTTTAAGATACATAATAGAACTAAGGAAAACTTACTCGAGCTCGAAGATATCCCAGGTTAGATAACAACAAAGGAAATACGTGATTCTGAAGAAACAACTCAATTTGGTCCTTGAATAAACTTTTCTGTTAAGAAACAGAAATTAAACTTCAATGCAACACTTTCTAATAATGTATGGTTAATATGACTTGCATTTATATATTTCCCTTTTTTATACTGACATAATTTCTTTTATAAATAAGTTGCTTCCTGTCTTTCATTTCCTTTTTTAAAAAAATATACTTCCCCCAGGTGCCGATGGCTCACAACTGTAATCCTACTCAGGAAACAGATCTGAAGATCATGATTCAAAGCCAGACTGGGCAGGAACATTCAGAAGAGGTGCTATGGCTCAAGTGGTAGAGCAACTGCCTTGAGCTGAAGAGCTCAGGGATGGCGCCCAGGCCCAGAATTCAAGACCCATAACCGACAAAATAAATAAATAAATAAATTTTTAAAAATACACACTTCCAACATGGACCAGTGGCTCATGCCTATAAACCTAGCCTACTCAAGAGGCTAAGATCTGAGGATCGTGGTTCAAATCCAGTCCAGGCAGAATAGCCCCTATGAGACTTTTACATACAATTGACCACCCAAATACCAGAGGTGGAGCTGTGGCTCAAAGTGGTAGAGCACTAGTCTTGAGCAAAAGAGCTCAGGGACAGTACCCAGGCCCTGAGTTCAAGCACTACAACCGAAGGGGAGGGAATATATATATATATATTTCCATTTACCATTTGTAAAATTGTTTTGACATATTGTACTGTTGTGTTTTTTGTTTTATTTTGTTTTGTCAGTCGTGGGGCCTGAGCTCTAGGCCTGGACACTGTCCCTCAGCTCTTCAGCTCAAGGTTAGCACTCAACCACTTGAGCCACAGTGCCACTTCTGGCTTTTCCTGCTTCTGTGGTGCTGAGGAATCGAACCCAGGGCCTCATGCATGCAAGGCAAGCATTCTACCACTGAGCCACCTTCCCAGTCCCATATTGTGTGTTTTAAAAATAAGACAAATGGTACCTTAGATTAATTGAATAATGAGTGATTTTTGTTGAAATAAGAAATAATGCTAAATGGGGCACCAGTTGCTCTTGTCTGTCATTCTAGCTATCCAGGAGGTGGAGATCTGAGAATCACACTTTGATGCCAGCCAGAGCAACAAATCTGAGACTCTTATCTCAAGTAGGCAGCAAAAGACAGATAGTGGAGCTACAGCTCAAGTGGTACAGTGTCAGCCTTGAGTAACAAAGCCAATTGGTATCAAGTTCTGAGTTCAAGCCCCAGTACTGGAACAAAAACAAAGAAGTTATTTTGGATCATTTTTTATAGAGCAATAGTTTCATGATGAAAAACTAACAAAAGTAAAACTTCCTTTTTATGAAATAAGTAGGTCATCTAGAAGTAGTCACCAGTTTAAAATTATGGATAACTTCCAATATTTGCATCCTATTGAATAAAACAAATTTTGTTCGTCTTAACCTTTAATAAAATCTCAGCTAGGGAACCAATCACATGCAGGGCTCCATCTTTCTTCCTAGGGTCAAAGTTCAGGTCTGTTAGGATTTGATAACAGAATGTCATCATTTTTGGCAACACCTAAAGAAATAGAGGAATCCATTTTAGTGCTCAGGAATTTGCATTGGATTATTACAGTATTAGTATGATGCACAAATCTTCAAAAATAAAGATATTTTATGGTGTTTTTAGTCAAACAACTATATGCTCAGTAAGAAAGGTATTTATTACAGGAATATAAGCAAAGATATTTCACCCTTTTCTCTTTACTAGAACAACTAAACATCCTTAAGGGGATAGGCTATAATTAATAACAATACAATTTCCAGACACTAAGAATATGTTCATCAAACAGGCTACTTTTGTCTGGGATATAAGAGAAGCAATTACATACCTCTTTCCTCTTCCTTGCAGCAGTGTATAGCAGAGTCTGAGCCGCTGTGGTGGGAGAGGCATAATCTTCAAAAATATCTGTGATTTCAACATTAAATCACATTAGTGAACAAACTGTCACTTAGTAAATACATTTTATTACCTTTAAATAACTGTACAAAGGGGTTTGAATTCAACAAACCAGTTTTTAATATAGCACATCTCAATCAACGTCACCTCTCCCATCATTCTCATCTCTCCCAATCCCACCCCTCAAGTGACCTGCTTCCATTTTCAAATCTGTACTAACATCTACTGTTGGTTATATTCTTTTTTGTTGTTGTTACTTTTTTTTTTTTTTGGTCAGTCGTGGGACATGAACTCTGGGCCTGGGCACTGTCCCTCAACTCTTCAGCTCAAGGCTAGTGTTCTACCACTTGAGCCATAGTACCACTTCTGGCTTTTTCTGCTTCGGTGGTGCTGAGGATTTGAACTCAGAGCCTCAGGTAAGCAAGGCAAGCACTCTACCATGGAGCCACCTTCCCAGCCCTATTGTTTGTATTCTTGATGGTGGCCATTCTGCCTGGAGTTAGATAGAATCTCAGTGTTGTTTTGACTTACATTTCCTTTATAGCCAGAGATACTGAGCATTTCCTCATGTGTTTCTTAGCCATCTTTACATCTTCTGAGAAGTCTCTATTTAGCTCGTTTGCCCATTTATTAAACGGGTTATTAATTTTTTGGAGCTTTCATTTTGTTTTTTGTTGTTGGTTTTTTTTTTTTTTTTGGTCGGTCTTGGGGCTTGAACTCTGGGCCTGGGCACTGTCCCTCAGTTCTTCAGCTCAAGGAGAGCATGCTACTGCTTGAGCCACAGTACCACTTCCAGTTTTCTGGTGGCTTATTGGAGATAAAGAAGTCTCATGGACTTTCCCTGCCCAGGTTGGCTTTGAACCGCGATCCTCAGATCTCAGTCTCCTAGTAGCTAGGACTATAGGCGTGAGCCACCGGCGCCCAGCTGGAGATTTCATTTTTTGAGCTCCTTGTATATTCTGGATATTAAGCCCTTGTCAGATGTATAAGTGGCAAAATTTTCTCCCACTCTATAGGTTGTCTTTTGAGCTGAATAACTATGTCATTCTCTGTGCAGAAACTTTTTAGCATAATGCACTCCCATTTGTAATTCTTTCTCCAATTTGCTGAGCCCCTGAAACTCTACTCAGAAAGTTCCTGGCTATGCCAGTTAAGTTCTGATTTTCTCCTACTCATTCCTATAGTATAAATAGATTGCCACCTGATCAATACTTTTCTACAACACAAAATAAAACAGCTCCCCTGATACTTTGGTTACAGCAGAGAAAAAATAAGGACATTTACTTATCAGCACTGTCAGATATACCATGGTCACCGAATTCTACAGGCTGCCCTTTCATTATGAGCATAATAAAAAAAAAATTAAAAAAAAACAAATCTAGCTGTTGCTATTTCATGCCTGAAACCCTAGCTACTCAGGATACTGAGATCATTGGATTCCAGTTCAGAGCAATCCTAGGTAGAAAAGTCTGAAACTCTTATCTCCAATTAAGCAGGAAAAAGCCTGAAGTGGAGCTGAGGCTTAAGTGGTTGAGCACTAGCCTTAAGTGAAAGAGCCCAGTGAGAGTGCAAGGCCCTGAATTCAAGCCTGTGTATTAGCACCTCCCTCCACCACACACACACACACACACACACACACACACACACACAAAAGGGGAAAATTAGAAGTCTTGCACTTGAGTAATGATTTCCCAAAGAAAACTAGAGACATGAAGTAGGTTAAAAATGTTTTCTGCTTTGTTTGCTTTTCCTATACTTTGCCTTTAAGAAAGCCAATGCCAAGCTGAGTGCTGCTGGCTCATGCCTATAATTTTAACTACTCATGAGGCTGAGATCTGAGGATTGCGGTTCAAAGCCAGCTCAGTCAGGAAAGTCTTATCTCCAATTAACCACCAGAAAACCAAAGTGGTGTTGTGGCTCAAGAGGTAGAGCACTCACCTTGAGCTGAAGAGCTCAAGGACAGCATCCAAGCTCAGAGTTCAAGCCCCATGACTGACAAGGAAAAAAAAAAAATAAAAGAAAGCCAATGCCTCCTCACTTACCGAATCTACTAATAAAGCACTATAACAATATCCTAGTGACCATACCAGCTTAACACAGATACATCAGTTCCATAGAGGGTACTTTCGATGTGCTTGTATGGAAGGCTATGGCTAAGCACTACAGAATTGTGGAAGGGAGGAAGGAGGGAGGGAAGAATGCAAAATGAAGCAAATAAGATAAAGTTCCCACCTAGGTGCCAGTAGCTCACACTTTGAACATCACAGTTCAAAGCCACCTGGAGCAGGAAAGTCCATGAAATTCTTCTCTCCGATTAACCACCAAAAAGCTGGAAGTTAAGCTGTGGTTCATGTGGTAAAGCCACAGCCTTGAGTGAAAAACCTAAGGGCAACAGGTGCTAGTGGCTCATGCCTGTAATCATAGCTACTCAGGAGGCCAAAATCGAAGTCAGTCCAGGAAGGAAAGTTAGTGAGATATTTATCTCCAATTAACCACCAAAAAAGTCAAAAGTGGAGCTGTAGCTCAAGTGGTGGGGCTCTAGTCTTAAGCAAGAAAGCTCAGGGACAGCACTCAGGCCCTGAGTTCAAGTCCCAAGACTGACGCATACTCACACACGCACATGCGCACGCACATACACACACACACACACACACACACACACCAATCAAAAAAATAAAATAAAAACCCTAAGGGACAGTGCCTAGGATCCTGAGTCCAAACCACTGGACTAGCAAGAAAAAAAAAAAAAAAAAAGGTTTCTGTCCTCAGATAGTAACTATTTGCTCTGGTAAGTGCTTAAGGATTAACAGGAATGGGGTTGGGAATGGGGCTTAGTGGTAGAGTGCTTGCCTAGCACACATGAAGCCCTGGGTTCGATTCCTTAGTACCACAAAAACAGAAAAGGCAGGAAGTGGCTGTTGCTCAAATGGTAGAGTGCTAACCTTGACCAAAAGAAGCTCAGGGACAGTGCCCAGGCCCTGAGTTCAAGCCCTAGGACTGGCCAAAAGAAAAAAAAAAAAAGAAAGAAAAGAAAGATAAATAGGATGACTCCACAGCTCAAGGGCTTCTATGCAAATCAAAGCAAAAAGGATCCCCTCCTCGCCCAAAACAGCCACACACAGGATAGCCACTGGAAGATCTTATTCCTTTGTGGAAAAGGAAGCACACTAGGGGTGCTTCTAAAGTATGCAGGAATCGAAAGGATCTGTCAAACCTGGGAGCACATAAGTCTAAGACTGGGTGTCCAAATGGCTCAGGAAGAGGTGGGGCCACAGACCAGTGCCTAGGTGACAGCTGAAGCAGCAAGTGCTTACAATGGTCCCGCATGCTTGAGAGTTTGTTTGTCGTACACATTTTTTTGGCATACAAATCTGGCATACAAATGATTTTCCCCCCCAGTACTAGGGTTTGAACTCAGGGCCTTGGAGCTGTCCCTTAGCTTTTCTGGCTTTTTGGTGGTTAATTAAAGAGTCTCATGGACTTTCCTGCCTGGGCTGGCTTCAAACAGCCATAATCAGATCTCGGCCTTCTAAGTAGCAAGAATTACAGATGGAAGCCACCAGCATCTAGCTTTTTAGGAAGTTTGTAGTTTGATTATAATATTTAGGAGAACTGGGCATCAGTAGCTCATGCCTGTAATTCTAGCTACTCAGAAGGCTATGACCTGAGGGTCTTGGTTCGAAGCCATCTCAGGCAGGAAAAGTCCAGGACACTCTTATCTCCACTTAGTAACTAAAAAGCCAGAAGTGGAGCTGTGACTCAAGTGTTAGAGCTCTAGCCTTGAGCAAAAAAGAGCTCAGGGGCAATGCCTAGATTCTGAGTTCAAGCCCTAGAACCAGCACACACACACTCTCTTACACCCTCACACACACACACACACACAAATGATTATAATATTTAGGAACCATGCAGGAAAAAGTTTCACTTACCAAATTTCATCCTGATATACTCATAGGGATCTTCTTGCCACAGCTCCTCATCTTCATCCTTGTAGCACATAACAGAAAAAACCACATCTTCACAGATACTCTGAGAAATATAAACAAAATAGTGAGTGAGATTGGAGATTACAAGTAATGTACTCGTGCACAGTCTTTATGATGTTAGTTTTCCCAACATTTTTTTTTTCTTTTTGGTGCCAGTACTGGGAATTGAACTCAGGACTTCGTGCTCTCCCTTAGCTTTTCTCACTCAGGACTCTATCGTGAGGCACACCATCACTTCTGGGTTTTTGGCTGGTTAATTGGAGATAAGCATCTCTCAGGCTTGTTTCCCTGGGCTGGCTTTGAATTGCAATCCTCAGATCTCAGCCTCCTGAGTAGGCAGCTAGGGCTATAGGCGTGAGCACCAGCACTGAGCCTCAAATAAGTACACAAGTCCTTTGGATAAGCCTACATTCACTGCAGTACAACAAGGTAACAAGAGCTTCTGCAAAGGCCAAGGCACTAAAGAGTTAAATAGAAGATTGATTTTAAATAACAAGCAATTAAAAGTACAGAAAAAGGAAGTGTAAATGCTACTCTTTGAAGGACAGGGATAATACAGGTTTACTAAGAAAAAGAAACCAATATTAAATAGGCTTTGATTTATTTAAAGAAGATATGTGTTGTGTCAGAGTTATATTTACTATTTCTCATTTTGAAAGTTTTTAATATTTCCATGTTCAGCTTAAATAACAATGAACTAACAATATGAACTACTTCTATTCTTATTCCATCTTCAATAAAAACCAAAAAACAATACTCAGCAGAGAAACAGTGGTTCAGGCCTATAATTCTAGTAGTTAGGAAGCTGAGATCTGAGGATCCCAGTTCAAAGCCAAAGCCTGGGCAGTAGAGTCTGTGAGGTGTCTTATCTCCATGAAACTACTCAAAAAGCTGGAAGTGGCGTTGTGACTCAAGTGATAGAGTGCTAGCCTTGAGCCAAAAAAAACAAAAACTCAGGAGCATCCCCCAGGCCTTGAGTACAAGCCCCAGAGCCGGCATACACTCACACTCACACACACACACACAAAACCAATACCCTACTGCACAAATGTGTATTTCAGGGGAAATCCTACCTTTCTGTCCACTGCTGCAAATGGTCTACAGACCACTTACATAAAAATAGGACCATTTCATACCACTTCTTCCAAATTGATTAATTCTAGTAAGAAAAAAACCATTCTAAGGGTCAGAGTTTTCTTATCCCTACATTCCAGACATATCAAAATAAGGCCAAAATACTGAAAAGAGAAGAAATACAATCACAATTCATCCTTTTCTAGGGATATCATAAGTAAAATGAAGTCAGCATTTTATTAATTACAAGGAAATTATCATAGTTTTATCAAAATTAATAGGAAAACTGTTATTACGATGCCTACAAAAACATATCTAAAAGGTACTATAAGTGACAGGTGATAGACACCTGTAATTCTAGCCTAAGCTCTGAGGATCCCAGTTCAAAGCCAGCCTGGACAGGAAAGTTTATAAAACTTTTAATTATCCAATTGTTTATATACATATAAGAATTTATTTTTAACGTTTCACTATTTTCCATTTTCATTTTTAAATTAAATAACACACAATTCTACTTTTCAGTAAACAACTGGTATAAAAACAGAAAATTTGGAGCTGGGATGGTGGCTCAGTGGTAGAGCGCTTTCTTTGCATGCCTAAGGCCCTGGGTTCGATTCCTCAGCACCACATAAGCAAAAAGAAAAAAGCTGGAAGTGGCGCTGTGGCTCAAGTGGTAGAGCGCTAGCCTTGAGCTGAAGAGCTGAAGGACAGCACCCAGGCCCAGAGTTCAGGCCCCATGACTGGACCCAAAAAAAAAAACCCAGAAAATTTTAACTTCTGCTAAAGCACTTCATCTAAAATAAAGAGAATGTCTGCCGATACCTACCAAAGAAAATGGTCACATATCACGGTTCATTTTCTGCAAACAGTTTTAGTAGATACTTGCTGGCAATTCTCAAAATGTTTTCACACAAAATACCTTATTTGATCCTAGGTCCTAGCAACCTTTAGATAAAAAGGGTATGTGATGGGCACTGTGGCTCATACCTATAATCCTAGCTACAAAGGAGGCAGAGATCTGAGGATCACAGTTCAAAGCCAGCATGGACAGAAAAATCCAAGAGACTCATATCCTAACCAGAAAAACACTGGAATTGGAGCTGTGGCTCAAGGTCACAGAATACTAGCCTTAAGTAAAAAAAAAAAAAAAAAAAAATCAAGTCAGAGTATGAAGGCCCTGAATTCAAACCCCAGTAGTAGCACAAAACAAAAAATGGAAAAACACTATCTCTTTCCATAGAACAGAAACTGAGGGGAAAAAAAAAAATCAACAGTTCCAACTTACCAAATTATAAGGGCTCACTCTTTTCAACTGCTTAAATTTCCAAGCCCTTTATTATAAATATATGATTGCATTTATGAAAAAGTATTATTGAGCCTGATACAGGTGGCTCACACCTGTCATCCTAGCTACTCCAGGAGGCTGAGATTTGAGGATCCAGACTCAAAGCCAGCATGGGCAAGAAAGTCCATGAGAAACTAACTAATCGCCAGAGGTGGAGCTGTGGCTTCAGTGGTACAATATCAGCCTTGAGCGGAGAAAGTTCAAGGACAGTGCCCAGGCCCTGAGTTCAAGCCTCTAAACCAAAATATACACACACACAAAACTACTAATGGAAGTAAGGAGTTCTAAATATAGAACTCTATTGAGAACCTGATGATTCACTGGGCACAATTTTGGAAACTGTTCTCTGAAACAAACCTGTATGTGTGGCTTCATCTGCTTCCAGGTCACGGAGTGAAGCACCCCCTGGCTGAGATAGTTGAAGGCCTGCTGAAGAACACGAGGAGCCACATATTCTTTCTGTCTATACTGATCTAAAATTTTTAGTAGAACCTACAGAAAAATAGGAAGGTAAAATATAGAACAATGAGTTAAAAAAGAAGGGAACCTTTTAGCAATGATGTAATTACTATCCTATATACACAGAAATAAAAATTAACAGCTTCCAGGGGAAAATCACTATTTGGGAAGAAAACTCAAATAGGCAGTTTATACTGAAATACAGCATGTCTCTGTGACTTACTTCAAGCCATTTGTTTGACTAACCAATGGAACTATATAGAAGAAATTTAAGTTTTATTCTGTTACTAGCTCTTCAAAATAAATTAAGACTCTATTTTTAAAAATAACAGTCTAGGGGCTGGGAAGGTGGCTCAGTGGTAGAGTGCTTGCCTTGCAGCCATGAGGCCCTGGGTTCGATTCCTCAGCACCACATAAGCAAAAAAAGCTGGAAGTGGTGCTGTGGCTCAAGTGGTAGAGCACTAGCCTTGAGCTGAAGAGCTGAGGGGCAGTGCCCAGACCTAGAGTTCAGGCACCATGACTGGCAAAAACAACAACAACAAAAAAAAATAACAGTCTAGGGCTGGGAAGGTGGCTCAGTGGTAGAGTGCTTGCCTTGCATGTATGAGGCCCTGGGTTCGATTCTTCAGCACCACATAAGCAGAAAAATCCGGAAGTGGCACTGTGGCTCAAGTGGTAGAGGGCTAACCTTGAGCTAAAGAGCTGAGGGACAGTGCCCAGGCCCAGAGTTCAGGCCCACAACTGACAAAAACAAACAAAAAATAAAAATAAATAAAAATAACAGTCTAGAGCCAGGTACCAGTGGCTCATGCCTATAATATCCTAGCTACTCAGGAGGCTGAGATCTGAGGATCATGGTTCAAAGTTAGGCAAGAAAGTCCACAAGACTCAGACTCCATTAAACCATCAAAAATCTGGAAGTAGGGGAGCTAGGAAGGTGGCTCAGTGGTAGAGCGCTTGCCTTGCATGCCTGAGGCCCTGAGTTCGATTCCTCAACACCACATAAGCAAAAAGAAAAAAGCCAGAAGTGGCTCAAGTAGTAGAGCACTAGCCTTGAGCTGAGGGACAGTGCCCAAGCCCAGAGTTCTGGCCCCACGACCGGACCCAAAAAAAAAAATCTGGAAGTAGGGGCTGGGAGTGTGGCTTAGTGGTAGAGTCCTTGCCTAGCTTGCAGGAAACCCAGGGTTCGATTCCTCAGTACCACATAAACAGAAAAAGCCAGAAGTGGCACTGTGGCTCAAGTGGTAGAGTGCTAGCCTTAAGCACAGAGAGGCTCAGGAACAGAGCCCAGGCCCTAAGTTCAAGCCCTCGGACTTGGGGGGGGGGGGGGGGGGGGAGAAGCTGGAAGTGGAAGTGCAGCTATGGAACAGTGCCCAGGCCCTAAGTTCAAGACCTGGGACTAGATAATAAATAAATAATCTTAACCAGGAGCTGCTTACTTGTGCCTATCCTCGTAGTTACTCAGGAGACTGAGACCTGAAGATCCCAGTTCAAAGCCAATCTGGGCAGGAAAGTCTATGAGATTCTTATCTCTAATTAATCACCAAAATGCTGAAATTGGAGGTATGGCTAAAGTGGTAGAGCATCAGTCTTGAGGCAAGAAGTCAACTGAGCATTCAAGGTCCTAAGTACAAGTCCCAGTACTGGTACAAAAAAATATAAATAATACTAACTGGAAAACATTAAAAAATTTCTATATAGCAAGGGACAGCACAAACAGATTATATTGCTTGATAAAGAAATTGTTCAAAAATCTAAACATGATTTCAAAATTAGTAATAAATACAACATACAACTGATCGGCTCTTAAAAAAATAAGCTGGATCTCTAAACCTCATGCCAAAACAAATTCCAGAAGCAGATATTTCTACATCTACAAAATAATGAAAACAGAGTTCCTAAGAGAAAAATATGACAAAAAGTTTTACTTTATATTCTCAGGTGGAAGATCTTTAATGAAGAGCTTTTTTTTAAGCCTGAGTAAAGCAGTTCACAAACACCATTGCAAATCAGCTTTTTTTTTAATTCTTTTTTTTAATTGTGAAAATACTGTACATGGGCAAGATAATGAGTACATTTCTTATCAAGCATTGTAGCCTCCTCCTTGGTTTCCCCTTCCCATTCGCTCCTCCCCCCCACCAAAGTTGTAAAGTTAGTTTTTCGACATAACAACTTATACCTTGTAGTCTCATTGTTGCAATGGGTCCACCTGTATCCCTATTTAAACGATTTGTTTTTTCCCTTCCCCTCCACAAATTATAACAACATCAAATACAGTGAAAGCAGGGGTTATACCGTGGGGGAGGGACATACAAAGCAACAAAGAAATAATCTTATAAATGTGTTAGAAATGCAAATCAGCTTTGACTGGTCCAAGGGCCTATTATCAAGTTTGTAAGTAGGTTGCAAAATCTTTCAAAACACAAAATTTACTCGTTACCTAAAATCCAGGCTTATTTTATAGAACTTGTCAAATTAGCCAGCTAATGCAGGCTAAATAATGATGCTGAGCTTATTATTGCTAATACAATGTAGCTTACACACAGTGTGGTGCCTAAAAGAATGGTTCTTTGCGAAAGGAAGGAAGGAAGGAAGGAAGGAAGGAAGGAAGGAAGGAAGGAAGGAAGGAAGGAAGGAAGGAAGGAAGGGAGGGAAAGAAGGAAGGAAGGAAGGAAGGAGAGAGACAAAAAGAGCCAGGAACCATGGTTCATGCTTGTAATTGAGGCTGAGATCAGAATGTTTTGAAGCCAGCCTGTGCAGGAAAATCTGTGAGACTCTTATTTCTAATGATCCAGCAAAAAACTAAAAGTGAAAAAGTACAGGTATGGCTCAAATGGTAGAGTACCAGCCTTGAACAAAAAAATCTAAGAGCAGTACTTCAAGCTCCAGTACTGGCACCAAAAAGAAAAGATACTTGTAAGAAAGCAATCAAACTGAACTAATGGAAGCAGCATGCAATCTAAGCTAAACTAATCTCACTGCTAGGACAATTTCAACAAAAGATCAAAGTCCAAAGCCTAGGAGAACTCAGGAAGGGTAATTCTGATGATGGCTGCCAGAAGAGACTGGATTTTAAAACTCCCAAAGCTGCCACTGCATCTTCTTTAAATATGTAATGAGTTCATTTGTCTGACATCTACTTTTTTCCTCATGCTGGAACTCAGGCTTGAGCCCAGAACCTAGGCACTGCTTTTTCACTCAGAACTAGTGCTCTCCACTGGAGCCACAGTTCCACTTATAGCTTTTTGATAGTTAATTAGGGAGAAGAGTCTCACAGACTTTTCCTGCCCAAGCTGGCTTCAAACTATGATCCTTAGATCTCAGCCTCTGAGTAGCTAGGATTACAGGAGTGAGCTAGTGGCACCTTAATCAAAAATAGTTGTCAATTATAATCCTATTTTAAAAGTATAAGTTTATTACCTGCTGAATTCCTACAGCATAGGTTTTCAAAAAGAATTCAGAAAACTCAAAGTATTCTTTGGTGACATTTCCTGGGCTTCCATACCTTAAAATTCAAAGAAGAATCATGTCAGTGCTATAAAGTTGAAAAACAAAGGATGCTCAGCCATCAAAACATGGCCACTGAAAGATGTTTTCTACTGGGCCAGAAAACTACCACATTCCCTTCCACATAAGACACAGAATGAAGCATGCCGAGCTGTGCGGACACTGGCAACCCTTCACCTTTCAGACAAAGCGGTCACCTTCCAAACCAACAGCTGCTAAGGGATTAATAATGGAGGGCAAAAACATTCTACCTAATATGTTTCTTTTCATTAATACTTTTAACATTAAAACTGGCCAGGCACTGATAGTTCATGCATGTAATCTTAGTTATTTAGAAAGCTGAGATCTGAGGATCATGGCTCAAAGGCAGTCCCAGCAGAAAAATCTAATTAACAAGCAAAAGGCCAGAAGTGGATCTGTGGCTCAGAGGCAGAGTACTAGCCTTTGGTGAAAAAGCTAAGGAATAATGCTCAGGCTCTGAGTTCAAGCCCCAGCACTGTCATACACACAAAAAAATACATAAATGCATCCATAAATACTTTTCTTTTTTGTTGTCGTTGTTGGTTGTGGGGCCTGAACTCTGGACCCGGGCACTGTCCTTAAGCTCAAGGCTGAAGAGCTTGAGCCACAGCGCCACTTCCGGCTTTCATAAATACTTTTCTTTTTTCTTTTTTTTTTTTGGTTGGTCATGGGACCTGAACTCTGGGCCTGGGCACTGTCCCTCAGACCTTCAGGTGAAGGCTAGCGCTCTACCACTTGAGCGTCAGCCCCACTTCCAGCTTTTTCTGCTTATGTGGTGCTGAGGAATCGAACCCAGGGCCTCATGCATGCAAGGCAAGTGCTCTACCACTGAGCCACCTTCCCAGCCCATAAATACTTTTCAAGTTAAAACTGACCTTATTAAACTATATGGTTTCTTGCATAATTCCTGGATAGTTCTAAACACCTAATGTTAATTTTTTCATGTTTTTCACAGAATAGAAAGAGCCAAGTGGCTCTGTGGCTCAAATGGTAGAACACTCACCTTGAGCTGAAGAGCTCGGGGACAGCGCCAGGCCCAGAGTTCAAGCACCACTACTGACATAAACAAAACACAACTTGGGCTTGGACTGTGGCTTAGTGGTAGAGTGCTTGCCTAGCATGCATAAAGCCCTGAGTTCAATACCTCAGTACCAGCAGAAAAAGCCAGAAGTGGCTCTATAGCTCATGTGGTAGAGCACTAGCCTTAAGCACAGAGAGGCTCAGGGACAGTGCCCAGGTCCTGTAGTCAAGGCCTAGGACTGGTCAAAAAAAAAAAAATAGAAAAGAGCCAGAGAAAGCTGCCCAATTCCTTTTGACTGCAAAGGCATGAGCACATGTAAAGCGACTTTAAACAAAGGGTGACAGGAGGGGAGCAAGGAGACTGTGAGGTAGGGGGCGTTTTGAGGCTTGAACTCAGGGCCTGGGCATTATCTCTGAGCTTTTCACTCAGCACTGGTACTCTACCATTTCAGCCGTATCTCCACTTCTGGCTTGTTTTGTTGTTGTTGCTGTTAGTTATAGGGCTTGAACTCAGGGTTTAAGTACTTTTCCTGAGCTCTTTTGCTCAAGACTAGAACTCTTACCACTTTGAGCTACAATTCCACTTCCAGTTTTTGAGTGGTTGATTGGAGATAAAAGTCTCAAGGGGATATTTCTGCCTGGCTGGCTTCAAACCTCAATCTCAGATCTCAGTCTCCTGAACACCTAGGATTATAGGTGTGACCCACCGGTGCCCAGCCACTTCTAGCTTTTTGGTGATTAATTGGAGATAAGGGTCTCCAGCTCTCCTGCCTGGGCTGGCTTTAAAACGGAATCCTCAGATCTCACTCTCCCAAGTAGCTACAATACAGGTGTGCATCTTGCATAGGGTTGGCTGGTTGGCTCTTTCTTCTCTATGGTATTAAAAAGGAGGGACTGGGAAGGTGACTCAGTGGTAGAGCGTTTGCCTTGCATGCATGAGGCCCTGGGTTCGATTCTTCAGCACCACATAAGCAAAAAGAAAAAAGCCCGAAGTGGCACTGTGGCTTAGGTGGTAGAGCTCTAACCTTGAGTTGAAGAGCTGAGGGACAGTGCCCAGGCCCAGAGTCCAAGCCCCACAACCGGACCCAAAAAAAAAAAGAGGAATAATCATGTTTAGCAGACCAGCAAAGGAACTAGCCTGCTCTGTGTAATGTAGAATCACTGTAATGGAGAATTACCGTTCAAAGAGACGAGCTACAATATGCAGGGCCCACTTCTTACACTTCCACCACACCAGCTCCGGTCTGTCATCCTCATCAATTTGTAGAGTCTCCTAAAGGAGCAAAAACTCAGATTAAATAATACTAGCTACTCAGGAGGCCAAGATCTCAGGATCCAGGTTCAAAGCCAGCCTGGGCAGGAAAGTCCATGGGGCTCTTATCTCCAATCAATCAACAAAAAGCCAGAAGTTGTGACTCAAGTGGTAGAGATATAGCCTTGAACAAAAGAGCTAAGGGACTGTGCCCAGGCCCTGAGTTCAACCCCTTTACTAGCATTAAAAATAATAATAAATTGCTGGGTAGGAATTAAATAAGCACAATACATTTCATTAAACATTGCTATTAGGCACATTCATCATTCGCCACACCTCCACTTTCAGAATAAGCAGGGAAAAAAATTACTAACACCTTGGTAAGACTCTGAGATAATGAAATGGTTCTACATTTTGATCTTGGTGAAAGGGACACAAGTGTATCTTGTCCAACTTTGCTAAGCTATACCCAACATGCACGAATCCTGAATACAATCCTCAGATCCAAAAATAAAAATCTTGAACTTTTAAAATACAAGGATGTTTTGTTTTTATTTTGTCAGTTATGGGACTTGAACTAAGGGCCTGGGCACTGTCTGAGCTCTTTTGCTCAAGGCTAGCACCCTACCACTCTGAGCCACAGCTCCACTTCCGGTTTCAAGTGTTTAATTGGTGATAAAAGTCTCATGGAGACTTTTCTGCCCAGGCTGGCTTCAAACTGTGATTCTCATATTCTCATATTTCAGCCTCCTGAGTAGCTAGAACTACAGGTGTGAGCCACCAGCACCCAGTGCCCTATAGATTCTTATCTTCGATACTCAAAAGATGGAAGTAGATCTGTGGTTCAAGTGGTAGAGTGCCAGCCTTGAGCAAAAAGCCAAAGTGACAGCACCTGGGCTGAGTTTAAGCCTCCCCCAACCCCCACACAAAAGGTAAAAATTATATATATATATATATATGTTTTTAAAATAAAATAAAATGTTATTTACATAAAGAAAAAAAGAGGGCTGAGAATGTGGCTTACTGGTAGAGTGCTTGCCAGGCATGCATGAAGCCCTGGGTTTGTTTCCTCAGTACCACATAAATAGTACCACCATAAACAGAAAAAAGCTGGGAGTGGCACTGTGGCTCAAGTGGTAGAGCACTAGCCTTGAGTACAGAGAGGCTCAGGGACAGTGTCTAGGCCCTAAGTTTAAGCCCAGGACTGGCAAGAAAAGAAAAAAGGAAGGAGGGGAGGGAAGGGAAGGAGGAAACTAAATAAACACTAAGCTTTCAAAAGGATTTTTACTATTTTTAGTTATAATTATTTTTATAAATCTAAGCTTTCTAGACGTAAGTATTACGAGTTATTTCATTTTAGTTTGTCTGTTGTTTTGTTTCTGTGTGTGCTAGTACTGGGGATTGAACTCAGGGCCTTGTACTCTTGCTTGGCTTTTTCATTCAAGATTACTTGAGCCACACCTCCACTTTTAGCTTTTTGCTGGTTCCTCATACATAACAGTCTCATGGACTTTCCTGCTCAGACTGGCTTCAAACCTCAATCCTCAAATCTCAGCCTCCCAATTAGGAAGGATTAGAGGTATGAGTCACCGGCCCCTAACTGTTATTTTACTAACATTATAGTAATCTTTTCTTCTTGTTGTTGTTTAAAATAGGCTGAAATAATGCATTGGCCTATTAAAAGTACTCTAAGCCCATTTCCCCAGTTTTAATAAGAAACAGAGCTCCATCTTACAGGAGGAACAGTCCTGTCGAGAATGGTTTGGAAAATCTCCATCCACGTTGTCATGATTTGCTTATTCACCAGCTGAAGGGGCAAGGCATACTAGAAAACAGAACAGAATATAAACAACTCTTCTTCCTGTCCATCAAGATCAGTCATTTTATCTACAATGGAAAACTCAAACATATAAACAAGCCAGAATTTAAGCATGAAAATAGCAGTTTCATATGACTGAACCTAAAATTTAACTTAAAATAGATCCATAGCATATATATATATATATATATATATATATATATATACACATGTGTACTTAAAATTTAGAAATATACATGTCATGAGTTGTCTCTCTGAACGGTTTTTTCAATTTTTTTTAAATGAAATATAGCTAGATGCCAATAGCTCATGGCTGTAATCCTAGTTATTCAAGAGACTGATATGTGAGGATCAAACAAGCTGGAACAGACAAATCCAAGATACTTTTATTTCCAATTAACCAGCAAAAAGCTGGAAGTATAGCTGTGGCTCAAATGGTAGAGCACCAACCCTGAGCAGTAAAACTATGCAGAGAAAGGAAGGAAGAAAGGGAATGGAAGCAAGAGATAGAGAGCGAGGAAGGGAGGGAGAAAAAGAGAGAAGGAGAGACAGAAGGGAGAGGGAGGGAGGGAGGGAGAAGGAAGGGAAAGACAGAGGAAGGAGGGAGTGGAGGAAGAGAAAGAAAAGGGAGGAGGGAATAGTTAAAATCAAGGAAATTAAGCTACTAACCCTTTGTTAGCTTTAGTTTGGGTCAAAAGCAAAGAAATCATCAATGATTTCCCAATAAAAGAGGACTCTCTTCTTCCCCTTCCTCTTCTAGAATGATGGCCCACCTACCAGTAGGGATGCTTTAAACTGCTAAGTACAAGTTTAAGGGAAATAACGCTTGGTTCTCGATTACTCAGACTTCATACATGGAGCAAGAGCACAGAGACACTGATGGTTGTGGGAAGTTGGGTGAATTCTATGAGCCTGTTTCTCCTGAGAAATTTTTAAAAGAAATCTGTGTGAGAATATATCACAATTTTCAATAACAATTCGCTTACTGGGCACTTTTCACAGGTTAGTCTTCTGCAGTGGAAACCTACCTGAACCAGTGCATAAAAGATTTTCAGAATCTGCTTCTGTAGTAATACAGAATAATGGGAGGGATCAGGAAGAAGTTGCATAATTTGTTGCTGAATTCGTGGCAGAAATATCTGCATTGCTGCTATGAGTGGTTCTCTTTCTTCTGCTTTCTTATATCTACATGAACAATAAATAATAAAAGAAAATAAGTAATTTCTTTCCCTTTCCCCCAAAAGGCTACAACAATTAATGAAATATACAGATTATGTCTGGTGCCAGTGGCTCACACCTGTAATTCTAGCTATTTAGGAGGCTAAGATCTAAAAATCAAGGTTCAAAGCCAGCACAGGCTGTCTTTCTTTCTTTTTTTGCCAGTCCTGGGGCTTGAACTCAGGACCTGGGCACTGTCCTTGAGCTTCCTTTGCTCAAGGAGACCACTCTACCACTTGTGCCACCACACCACTTCTGGCTTTTTCTGTTCATGTGGTACTGAGGAATCGAACCCAGGGCTTCACGCATACTAGGTAAGCACTCTACCACGAAGTCACATTCCCAGCCCTGAAAGACTCCTATCTTCAAGTAACCACCAAAAGCCGGAAATGGAGCTGTAGCTTAATGGGTAGAGTGAGTGAAAAAATTAAGGAACAGCAGCTACCTCACCTCCAACCTCCAGGCCCCAAGTTCAAACCTCAGTACCTAAACTAAAAAGTTAAACTAACCCAGTCACTAGTGTGACTCATATCTGTAATCCAGGCTTCTCAGGAAGTTGAGATCTGAGGATCACAATTTGAAGCCAACCAGAGTAGACAAATCCTAGAGACTCATCTCCAACTAACAAACAAAAGCTGGAAGTGGAGGTGTGCCTCAAGTGACAGAGTATCAGCCTTAAGTAATAAAACTAAGAGTGCCCAGACCCTGAGTTCAAGCCCTAGTATACATACACACACATACACACACACACACACACACACACACACTATATATATATATACACACACACATATAATAGCTATGTAGGTAAGGAGAATAAAGTTTCTTTGAATACATGTTTAAATGTGTTAACTCTGATGGTTTCAGTCACATCATCTTGCATAGCACACCAGCAGATCCCCTTGTACTGACTTTCAGTGTCCCCCAGGGCTGTTCTCCTCAGTCAGAGAGAACCAACTTACTCATAAGTCTTCACCAGCTGATACAAACACAGCAAGCTGCCCAGCCAGCTCCCACTGCTCTGTGATTGCAAGTAGCAGTCTATCTTGTCCACCACGGCCGGCCAGTATCCAGGAAAATCATGCTTGATAATAACGCGAAGACACATAGTTAACTGCACTCTGGAAGGGGGCAGAGGGGAATGCAGTAGTTATGAATATCACATATCAAAGAGTTCTAGCATTTCCCATGAAAGTGTTCTAGCAGCCAAGAACCTGTGGCTCAGGGCTGTAAGCCTAGGCACTCGGAAGGCTGCTTGTCTGAGGATCATGATTTGAAGCCAGCCTGAGCAGAAATGTCCATGAGACTCTTAACTCTAATTAATCACCAAAAAGCCAAAAGTAGTGGAGCTGTAGTTCAAGGGGTAATGTGGAGCCTTGAGCAAAAGAAGCTCAGGGACAGTGCCCAGGCCCTGAGTTCAAACCCCAGGACACACGGACACAGACACACACACAGTATTCTGTTGCTAGGCACTGCTCAGCAATTGTTTTAACACACACACACACAGTATTCTGTTGCTGGGCACTGCTCAGCAATCGTTTTATCCAATTAACTACCAAAAAGCCAAAAGTAGAAGTATAGCTCAAATGGCAGAGTGCCAGCCTTGAACAGAAAAAAAAAAAAAAAGGGAGAATGTGAAGTTATGACTTCAAGTCCCAGTACTGGCACCAAAATAATCTAAATAAAATAAATAAAACATAACCTGAGGCTGCAGAGTAAATCACACAGATCCATCACCAGACCAGTCCCTCTTCCCAGGAGCCACCCAGAGCACGTCATACCTCACTAGATCAGGAGAGCGAATGATGCCTTCCACTATATTATCTCGAATCTGTTGCCGGTCATTTTCATGGATGTTGAATGGGAATACAGCTTCTCCGGGTGGAGGTTCTCGGTCTGGCCAATACTGCGTCACCATGTTCTTCAGGTAGATGGCAGCTATGTGATAGGGAAAATGTCCTTAGTCCATCTCTGGAGGACAGGCTAAACCCCTCAGTGTGAATGAACCTGCCATCTAGCAGACACAGAAAATCTTACAGGTGTAAATAAATGAGTTGGGAAGGGGAGTGGGTACAAATTTAAAGGTTTCACTTTGGCTAGGTGCTCAAGCCTGTAAGTTTAGTTACTCAGGAGGCTGAGATCTGAGGATCATGGTTCAAAATCAGCCCCAGCAGGAAACTTCTTGAGACTCCCCTCTCCAACTAACCAGCAAAAAGCCAAGTGATAGAGTGCCAGCTTTGAGTGTAAAAAACTAAGAGACAGCATTCAGACCCTGAGTTCAAGCCCCAGTACTGACATACACACAAAATTTTTCAATAAAAAATAAAATCAAAATAAATCCAGAAGAGCACCAGTCATACATAGTAGCTCACATTTGTAATCCCTGATATTCAGGAGGTACAGGCCAAGAAGATCAATTTGAGGCAAGCCCCAGGACCAGCAATAAATAAATAAATATAAATAAATAAATGTAATAAAACTAACGTAAAGCAAAAAGGTCTAGATATGTGACTCAGGAATAGCACTCAGACCCTGAGTTCAAGCCCCAGGACTCACACACACAACACATACACACATACATACACACACACATCCAGCCAGAAGCTGGTGACTCACACCTGTAATCTTAGCTACTCAGGATGCTGAGATCTGAGGATTATGATTTGAAAGCTGAAAGAGGAGTTGTAGCTCAAGTGGAAAAGGAAAAAAAAAACAAGCAAAAATGATAGGCTCTGAGTCAGTCCCCCAGGACTGGCATAATATTAAATAATTAATTGATACATATATAAAAAGGCAAAAACCAACTGAAGGAAAATATGTAAAATACATGAAATATATATGACAAATATATAAAAGGATTAAAAATCAACTCACCCGCCTGGCGTACTGGGAATTCCACATTGTCAGAGACTATAATCCGAAGTAAACTGGGAGCAAAATTGATAATCTTGTACGACTGAAATCACAAAGAAATGTTTTAGGAAAAAAACAATATAAATGAGCAGCTATCAGCATCTGTTACTGACTACACTACTTACACATTATAAACAAGACAACAGCAGAACAGACAAAATAGTATTAAAACCAACTGGAGACTAAGCACCTGTAAATCCTAGCTACTCAAGAGGCTGAGTATGAGAATCTCAATTCAAAGGCAGTGTGGGCAAAGTCCATGGGATTCTTTTCTCCAATTAACCAGCAAAAGCCAGAACTGGATGTGTGGCTCAAATAGTAAAGCATCAACCTTGACCAGAAAAACTAAGAGACAGTATGAGGCCCTAAGTTCAAGCCCCAGTTCTGGCACTGGCACTGACACAGTGACTCACCCCTCTCTCTCTCTCTCTCTCTCTCTCTCTCACACACACACAAAACACACACAGAGGCACCTGCAGCCAGAAAGGAACCAATACAGACAGGATATCAAAGGCACTCTAGTTTTGATTCTATCATCTTTCCTATGAATTTAATTATAATAGCATTTGTATGTATGCGCGCGTACATGTACATGTGCACACACCAGTACTGATCATTATTACTTGGCTTTTTCCCCTCAAGACTGGCATTCTACCCCATAAGCCACACTTCCACTTCTGGCTTTGTGCTGGTTAGAAATAAGAGCCTCTCCAATTTGCCTGAGCTGGCTTTGAATGAGGATCCTTGGATTTCAGCATCCTGAATAGTTAGGATCCTTGGATTTCAGCATCCTGAATAGACTGCAGGCATGAGCCACCAGAGCCCAGTTATACTAATTTATTAAAGTAAATGTTTGATTAAAAGATAAATTTGGAGAAAAGTGGCATTCTTTAAGGTATTGACCATTATACCCAAGAGCACTGTGCCCTGCAAACTTCCCTATATGCCTCAATAAAATTCTGAGTTAGGGCTGGGAAGGTAGCTAAGTGGTAGATTGTTGCCTTGCATGCATGAGGCCCTGGGTTCAATTCCTTAGCACCACATAAGCAGAAAAGGCCAGAGGTAGCACTGTGGCTGAAGTGGTAGAGTGCTAGCCTTGAGCTGAAGAGCTGAGGGACAGCACCCAAGCCTAGAGTTTAAGCCCTATGAGCAGAAAAAAAAAATCTAAATTATAATTATCCTACCTTCAGCCAGGTACCAGTGGCTCACTCCTGTAATCCTACCTGTCTTACAAGGCTAAGATCTGAATATCAAGGTTCAAAACCAACCCAGGAAGGAAAGTTCATGACACTCTTATGGTCCAATTAACCACTAAAAAGCCAGAGTGGATTTGTGGCTCAAGGGGTAGAACACCAACCTTGAGCAAAAAAACTCAAGGACAGCATCCAAGCCCTGAGTTCAAGCCCTAGTACTAACACAATATATATTATAGTAATCACAAAAACTGACTTAATTTTTTAAAGCCTTATAATCTATAAATACAAAGTATCTTTTACACTGGATGAATGCTCCTTACTTGAAAGTATCTATTTGATTTCAGCACTGATGCCACTTGCCACACTACTTTGCAACTGTTTATCATTTTCAAGAACTTAGGAAACTTTGTCTCCTTTTAACTTGCATTAAAGGAAGACTAATTTGGTCAGTTAAAACTATCAGGAACAAATTCTAATATATCTGATATGTCAAAACATTTTATTTTCACAACTCTTTTTTTCTTTTTTCTTTTTTGGGGTCCAGTTGTGGGGCCTGAACTCTGGCCTGGGTGCTGTCCCTCAGCTCTTCAGCTCAAGACTAACGCTCTACCACTTGAGCCACAGTGCCACTTCCGGCTTTTTTCTTTATGTGGTGCTGAGGAATCGAACCCAGGGCTTCATGCATGCAAGGCAAGCGCTCTACCACTGAGCTAACTTCCTAGCCCCCTCTTTTTTTCTTTTAAATGCTGGTACTGGGGCTTAAACTCACAGCCTCACAGTCTCCCTAAGCTTTTTCACTCAAGGCTATCACTCTACCACCTGAGCCACACCTCTACCTGCAGATTTTGGTAGTTATTGGCAATAAGCATCTCTTGGTCTTTCCTTTCCCAGCTAGCTTCAAATAGCGATCCTTAGATTCCAACCTCCTGAGTAGCTAGGATTACAGGTGTGAGCCACTGGCACCTGGCCCATCCAATTTCTTGTTCTCCAGGCTTCAAGCAATCCTTAGATTCCAACCTCTTGAGTAGCTAAGATTACAGGTGTAAGCCACTGGCACCTGGCCCATCCAATTTCTTGTTCTCCAGGCTTCAAGTTTCTAACAAAATAAATTGGTTCGTGTCTCAATGATTGATTGGAGATATTTACTTTGATCTGTGAAGCGTTCTGAAGAGACAGATTGGGTCCTTCATGAAATCCAGCATTTTCTGAGAATTCATATAAAGCAAAGACTGAGCTAGGCACCAATGGCACTTGAACACACATTTGCACATGTACACAGCAAAAACCTGCTGTTTCCCTATTCTCTGACTCAGTGGCCCAACTCCATGTGCTTTTCTATTCTCCAGCATATCAGGTCTGGGGCAAAGACTTTTGTAGAATCTACTAGTTCCTTTGTTCAGAAAAGGTCACTATTGACAACCTAACATCTGAGTATCTGCCACAGTACAACACCGCTGTTTATAAGTCATAGCATGCCACCTCAGGCTTTATTCAGTATTATCCTGAATTCAGGACATACCTGAAATTATATCACTTACTTGTCCACATGCCCCATTAACAGGTAAGCAAGCTCCATGTTTTCTGCTTTTTGTTTTTGTTTTTCAAGTACTAGAGCTTGAAATCAGGGTCTGGGTGTTCTCCCTTAGCTTTTTCATTCAAGATTAGCACACTACTGCTTGAGCCACAGTTCTATTTCTGGCTTTTTCCTGGCTGACTGGAGATAAAGAGTTTCATGGACTTTTCTATCCAGGCTTGCTATGAACCTCAATCCTTAGATCTCAGCCTCCTGAGTAGCTATAATTACAGGTGCAAACCACTGGCTCCTGGCTTGAGAACACAATCTTTTGTCTATAATACAACTTGGCAAACGGATTCATTATCCTCATAAACAAAATGTCTTCAAGAACTGAGGGTGTTCAATTCTAAAGCACTTGCCTAGCACACATGAATGATTGGGTTTAATACCCAACACTTAAAGAAAAAAAGACTTGTACAGCAAGAAAAATAGGAATTCCAAAACTTGGCCATAAAAGGTGATCACTTATTCCTTATTGGTACATGTGGAAACTGATTTATTAAAAGACAGCTATTGCTGGGCATCTAGGACAAATCCATAATCCCAGCACTAAGGAAACAGATAAGAGAATTTCAAGTTTGAGATCTTTCTAGTGAGATCCTCTTTCAAAAAAAGAGAAGCCACCAGGTGCTGGAGTACATGTCTGTAATCCTAGCTACCTAAAAGAATGAGATCTGAGGATCACAGTTCAAAGCCAGCCCAAGCAGAAAAGCTCATGAGACTCTTATCTCCAATAAACCATCAAAAACCTCGAAGCAGAGATGTGGCTCAAGTGATAGAGTACCAGCATTGAGCAAAAAAAAAAAAAGCCAAGTTAGAGCTTACACGCCCAAGTCCAAGCCCCAGGCCTGGCGCTCATGCACACACATGTACACGTACATGTATACACACAGAGTGTATAGGATTCATTCTTGATATTTTGAGGAAAAAGTCAAACAGAATTCCCAAGTGACAGTCACTTGTGAAAAAAACATGTTGACCTGGAAATACAGAGAACTTATCTTTCACAGAACAGGCTATGAAGCTGAGAGCTGAAGAAACTTGCTTCTCTGAAAGCCATGCAAAGATCAGTCAGTACACTGAAAAAGCTGTCCCATTTCCTGGGCAAAGAATATTTGCTGAGAGAAAAAATACATAAATAAATACACTAAAATAAATAGTCTGGGTGCTAGGGGTACAGCTCAGTGGTAAAGTACCTCCCTAGAATGTGCCTAACCCTGGAGTTGATCTCCATCACTGCAATCAATTAGTAAGTAAATAAATGAAATATAAAAGAACTGGACTATAACTGTTTTTGGTGTGTATACTGGAAGTGGAACTTGAACTCGGAGCCTCATGCTCTTGCTCAGCTTTTTCTGAACAAGACTGACAGTCTACCACGTGAGCCAAACCTCTACTTCCAGCATTTTTGGTGGTTAATTCTCCAATAAGAGCCGGGCGCTGATGGCTCACACCTGTAATCCTAGCTACTCAAGAGGCTGAGATCTGAGGATAGCAGTTTGAAGCCAGCCTGGGCAGGAAATTCCAATAGACTCTAATCTCCAACAACTACTCAGAAAAAGCTGGAAGTGATACTGTAGCTCACATGGTAGAGTGCTCTCCTTAAACAAAAGAAACTCAGGAACAGAGCCCATGCCCAGAGTTCAAGCCCTACAAGGGCGGGGAGGGAGAGTCTCTGGACTTTGGGCTTTTCTGCCAAGCTGGTTCTGAACCTGGATCATCAGTAGCTGGGATTACAGGTGTCAGCCACTGCTGCCTGTCTAGACCATAACTGCTTATAGGAGGCATCTACTCATTTATTTGAAAAAACAGGAAGATATTTTGGTAGTAAAGAATCAGAATACACACCCCAATATCATATCTATAGTCTAGAGTGGAAGGTTAAGTGGCATTTCATTTTAGTCTTCTGCTTACAATTACTAAAAACTTGGTGAATGCACATTACAATACAAAGAGCATTCTGTATAACATAAAGAGTGGCATAGCAACAAGTTACTTTGGTAGATTGATTGACTGACTGTAGTCCTGAGGATGAGAGGATGAACCCAGGACTTTGTGCATGTACAGACCAGGATTCTAGGCTGCAGGAGAGACGGTCTGTGATAAAGCATATAAATATGGGCAAACAACAGGAATAGATTTGGACTAAAATACATCTCCTAGTACTTCCAGCTTTCTCATCTACCTCTCCTACTTTTACAACATCTCCTGATGTATCAGATACAAAGCAAGGTTGGGCAGAAAAGAGGCCAGAAAGTAATGACATCAAAGATAGGTTCCTGATGAACAGGATCAAAGAGATTAGCAACTTCAGCCTAAGGAGAAGATCACAAACAGGCCAACTCTCTCTTCAAATGGTACATCACATGTTCAGCTTTCTTTCTCTCTTCTCCTTTCTTTCGACTTCTTTCCTTCCTCCCCCCCACCCTTCTTTTTTTTTTTTTTGGTTGGTCGTGAGGCCTGAACTCTGGGCTTGGGCGTGGTCCCTCAGCTCTTCAGCTCAAGACTAGCGTTCTACCACTTGGGCCATAGCACCGGCTTTTTCTGCTTATGTGGTGCTGAGGAATTGAACCCAGGGCCTCATGCATGCAAGGCAAGCACTCTACCACTGAGCCACCTTCTCAGCCACCCTCTCTCCCTCCCTCCCTCCCTCCCTCCCTATGTGTGGTTGTACTAGGGCTTGAACTCAAGGACCTGGGAGCTTTCCCTTAGCTTTTTCCCACTCAAGACTATTACTCTACCACTTGAGCCACAAGTCCCCCCCCCCCTCCCCATATATATACATGTATGTATATATATGTATGTATCTCTTGCGAATCCTGGATTCACATCTACTTTGAACTCCACAGATTCACACGGCGAACTGATCTGAAGTCAACTCAAACAAAAAACAATCCTGCCAGGTGCTACTGCTTCACATCTATCATCCTAGCTACTCAGGAGGCTGAGATCTGAGGATGGACATTTGAAGCAAGCGGGGTAGCCAAATCCTGGAAACTCCTCGTTCTCCAAGCAACTAGCAAAAAGCCAGGAGTGAAGCTGTGGGCTCAAGTGGCAGAGCACTATCCTTGACCAAAAAAGCCAAGTAAGAGCAGGAGGTCTTGAGTTCAAACCCCAGTATCCGCAAAGACCAAAAAAAAAAAAAAAAAAAAGAATGATGAGGATAATGCTTGGAACCAAATCAAGGCTGGTTTGAACGCAAGAGAAGTCTTTTACATTTTGGCATTTAAAAGAAATTCCACCAAACACACCTGACTTAATTTGTCTTTGGAAAGGCCCAGGGCAGCTGGCTGCTCTTCCCGGAGCAGCTTCCAACAGCGCTGCCCAGCTCCGGTAGAACGGTCCCCGGTGTCAAAGCTGTCCTGCCAACCCCACCCACGCAGGCTAAGGGTAGGCTCGGCCACGGCAGCACCTGGGTGGTGGCTGGGTCTGGGGCCGAGCGTGCTCGGGTTTGAATACGCCCTGACGCCCGTGCGGCCCCCGAGCTGAGGTGCAGGGAAGGAAAAGAAATCCATCTCCGTTCCTAACCCCCGAAAACGCCAGCAAGGTGGCAGCCGCTTCTGGACGCGTCCGGAACAGGCTGCAAGGACCTCCCGAAGAGGCGGCGGCTGGGGCCAACAGGTGCCGCCGGCAGCTCGCCCAGGTCCCGGGCCGCGGGGGGCCCGCGGGGGGCCCGCGGGGGGCCCCGCAGGCCCGGGGCGACCGGAGGGCGGGGCGCGGCGCCCCGGAAGGAGGGCGAGCCCGCCCGCGCCGGGGCCCCTCCGGCCGCCAGTCGCGCGCCGCGGCCGCCCCTCACCTGGTTGAGCTCGTTCTCGGCCGCGATCCGGAGCTTCGGGTCGATGGTGCCCTTGAGCGCCTGAATGATCCGGTTGAGGTCCATGGCCCCGGCTGGGGGCTCCACAGCCCCCGGGCGCGCTAGGCCAGACTGCAGCTGTAGTTCTTCTCCGGACCCTCGCCGCCGCCGCCGCCGCCTCCCCCCCGCGCCCCCTGGCTCGCCTCAACCCGCACCCCCGCCGCCGCCGCCACCTGCAGCCACTGGCTGCGCCACACCGGCTCCGCGCCCCCGGGCCTCCCGCTGTCCCCCCCACAACGCGCTCTCCATTCACCCTTTTACGACGGCCAGGGGGAGGCGGGAGAAGAGGAGGAAGCCACACCTGCTTTACGGCGGTCTCTGACCCGCCCCCTCCCCGCCCCGCCCCACCTCCCGGGCGTCAGGCGGTGAGCCGCTCCCGCAGGAGGCCGCCATGACGCCGTACGGAAATCCAAAGGCCGCCGAAGTCCTACAGGAAGCTGCCATGTTCTTGTACGGAAAGCGTCCTCCCGCCGCTTCCTTCTAACTAGCACTACCTCCAAATTAAGCACATCTACGGGGAGGGACACTTTTAAGTCAGCTGAGAACTGTTTGGGCATCCAAACCGAGTCTGTTCCAGGAGAAAGCGCTGAGAACTTTTAGTCATAGAGCCTATTGAGGAAGAGCATGAGGATCAGGAAGCCGCAAGGAGGCTGAGACCTGAGGAGCAGGTTCAAAGCCACCCTGAGCAAGAAAGTCCCTGAGACTCTTATCTCCAGTTAACCAAGAAAAAGGCCAGAAGGGGCGCTGTGGCTCAAGTGGTGGAGCGCTCGCCTTGAGCAAAAGAAGCTCAGGGGTCAGCGCCCAGGCCCTGAGTTCAAAACCCAGGACTGATTTTTTTTTTAATCTATTTCACAATGTGGAACGAGGTCAAATTATAAAGCCTGGGATTTTGAGAAAAATAATTCCTCAACATGCTCAGAAAAGTGCTCAAATGGAAGAAGGGTTCCATTACCCAGGCCCAGCAGCCATGTCCGGTTCCATAAGTTGAATACCATTAAAAATTTGGAACTAGCAGGGTGTTCGTGGCTCACAACTGTAATCCTAACTACTCAGGAGACTTGAGAGCTGAGGATCACAGTTCAAAGCCAGCTAGAGTCAGCTAGAGAGAGAAAAGTCCATGAGACTCTCATCTCCAATTTAACACCAAAAGGAAGCCAGAAGTGAAGATGTGCTTCACGTGGTAAAGTACTAGCCTTGAGTTAAAAGCTAAGCGCAGAATTCGAGTCCCAGTACCAGCACACACACGTGTGTGCGCCACACACACATTAGAATTAGTTTTTCCTCCATGACTATCTTTACCTCCTCTACCTCTGAAATCTTACCTCAAAAATCCTCTTTTCTAGTTAAAAATCCATTCTCTGTATCTGTTTTGTTTGTCTGTCTGTCTCTCTTTCTCACACACACACACACACACACACACACACACACACAGATTATATTGCTAGGTTTTTGATTATTTAATCTCCCCCTTCTTTTTGTCAATACTGGAATTTGAACTCAAGGTCTGCACTTGCTAAGCAGGCCTCTACCATTTGAGCCATCTCTATCCCTTTATGCTTTAGCTTTTTAATACTCTCACATTTATGCCTGGAGCAGCCTGGACTACCATCCCCCTATTTACACTTCCCACAGAACAGAAATATCAGGACATCACAACCAGTCTGGCCTCAAGCCAAGATCCTTCTCATCTCAGCCTCCTCAGTTGATAGGATGAGATTCCTGAACCACTACATCTGACATAATCATCTACTTCTTTTATTTTTAATGTATTTACTTTTTTTCTTTGTGTGTGTGTGTAGAGACAGAGTCTTACAGACTTTCCTGCCTGGTCTGGCTTCAAACTATAGTCCTCAGATCACAGCCTCCTGAGTAGCTAGGTTTATAAGAGTGAGCCACCAGCATCTGGCTGAGAGGATTTCTGTATTAACAACTATCTTCATGTTTCAGTTGGAATTTGAGCCAAGCACGCTGTTTTGACTATCATGGCTTGTATACTGCACCTCTCCATGACTGCTTCTTCTTCCAAGAGCCAATGTGAGGACTAAATATGATCTTTATCCTGCCTACAGAGCATGCTCAGTTAGTGTATTACAAATAAACGATGACTGTACAGTAGACCCTTATTATCCATGTATATGTGGTTCCAAGGAGACTAGCAGAGGGTAAATGGTGAATGTATAAGATGCAGAGTTCAGTACTCTATAAAATTACTTAAAGTTATCTCTCCCTTACTTAGATCTGAGTATCCATAACTTGAAACTACAGGAAGTAGGTAGGCTACATTATGGTCATAAAAATTACTGTTGCGCCCATTAATACTGCTCACAAAACTTGATCTTATTTCATGTTTTGGGTGTGTGTCAGTCCTGAGTCTTGAACTTAGGGTCTGAATGCTGTCCCTGAGTTTTCTTTGTCTGTGTGTGTGTGTTCTACCATTTGAGCTACAGGTCCACTTCCAGCTATTTGGTGGTTAATTGAAGATTAAGAGTCTCATGACTTTCCTGCCCAGGATGACTCAGAACTGTGATCTTCAGATCTCAGCCTCCTGAGTAGCTAGGATTACAGTCATGAACCACCAGTGCCTGGGTAAATTTTTGCTTTTGAAAGTTGTTTTAAAATTATTCTCAAAATTCAAAACAAACCTGGGCAGGAAAATTCATGAGACTCTACTCTTCAATTAACCACTAAGAAGCTGGAGATGGAGCTGTAGCTCAAATGATAAGAGCACTAGCTTTGAGCAAAAAAAGCTCAAAGGAAGTGGCACTGTGGCTCAAGTAGTAGAGCACTTGCCTTGAGCTGAAGAGCTGAGGGTAGGTGCCCAGGCTCAGAGTTCAAGCCCCATGACCACAAAAACAAATAAACAAACAAAAAAAAGCTCAGAGACAGTGCCCAACCCCTGAGTTCAAACCCCAGGACTGGCACAAAAAAAGGGATACTTAGACTATTTGAAAGATGCACCTTATTTGTTGAATGACACATAGAATAGCTTGACAAGGTGTCTGGCACAAAATGAACAATCAGCAAGTGCTGATTAAATAAATAATAAATGTAGAGGTAGGAGCCTGAAATATAATATCCACAGTAGGAATGAAGGTAAGATAGATAGATAGATAGATAGATAATTATATATAGATGCCATATATATATAATAGATGGCATATATTTTTCCCCACAGGTAAAGTGTACAGGGATGTATGCCTAATTATATAGATACACAAAGTAAAGAAGTCCAAGAATGATGGTCAAATTTTAAGCTTGAATGTCCTATGAATATCACTAATTAGGGAAAATGTAAATTTGGGGGGAAATGAGTTTGCCTGGTTTTCTTTTTTTCTTTTTGGTCAGTCGTGGGGCCTGAACTCTGGGCCTGGGTGTTGTCCTTCAGCTCTTCAGCTCAAGGCTAGCGCTCTACCACTTGAGCCACAGTGCTACTTCCATGAGTTTGCCTTTGAGCATGCTGAATTAGAAGTTTTGGGGTAGTTTTTTGTTTTTGGGTTTTGGAGTAGCTTTTTTTTTTTTTTTGGCCAGTTTTGGGGTTTGAATTCAGGATCTGTGTTCTGTCCCTTGCCTTTTTTGCTCAAGGCTGGTGCTCTACCACTTGAGAACAGATCCATTTCCAGCTTTTTGCTAGTAAAATGGAGATGAGTCTCACAGACTTCCCTGCTCAGGCTGGCTTTGAACTACCATCCTAAGATTTCAGCCTCCTGCATAGCTAGGATGGCAGGTGTGAGCCACCAAAGCCTGCCTGAACTAGGAATATTGATAGTTTATGTAGAGATTTCCAGCGAAAAATTCACATCTATGTGAGTAGAAAGTAAGGATACTATGGAAGGGGCAAAAGGAAATAAAAGCAAGCAAAGACCTGTGAGTCATCTGTGTTTATAGGGCAGCTGACACCAGACATGATGCCATTATCCTAGTGCAGCATATAACCAACGTGATTACAGCCCAAATTACAGAAGGTAATTTTACTCCAAGCACTGCTAACTGTGCCTTTCAGAGACTCAACATTTCAGTCATCTAAAGGAGTATTACACAGCTGTCCTTCCATCAGTTGACAATCTTGTCTGTGGATCTGTGTCAGCAAGTTTGAATCTATATGTTAAAGAAAAAATGGGAGTTAAAAAGCCAATACAAGCTGGGTGTCAGTGGCTCACATCTTGTAATTGTAGTTAGTCAGGAAGCTGAAATCTGAGGACAAGGTTCAAAGCCAGCCTGGGGGGTAAAAAAAAAAAAAAGCCCATGAGATTCTTTTTTTTTTTTTTTGGGGGGGGGGTCCAGTCGTGGGGCCTTAACTCTGGGCCTGGGCACTGTCCCTCAGCTCCTCAGCTCAAGGCTAGTGCTCTACCACAGCGCCACTTCCAGCTTTTTCTGCTTATGTGGTGCTGAGGAATTGAACCCAAGGCCCCATGCATGCAAGGCAAGCGCTCTACCACTGAGCCACCTTCCCAGCCCCCCCCCCCCAATGAGATTCTTATCTCTAATTAACCTGCAAAATGCTGGAAGTGGATACGTGGCACTAGCCTTGAGCAAAGAAGGTGACAAAGAGAGAGCTCAAGACTTGAGTTAAAGTCCTCAGTAATGGCATATGGGACAGTAGATGTAGCTCAGTAGTAGTGTGCTTGCCTAGCATGCACAAAGCCCTGAGTTCCATTCCTTAGTACCACATACACACACAAAAAAACCCCAGCCAGAAGTGGTGCTATGGCTCAAGTGGTAGAGTGCTATCCTTGAGCAAAAGAAGCTCAGGGACAGTGCTCAGGCAACCCCAGGACTGGCAAAAAAAAGTAATGGCATATGCACCAAATACAAAATCCAAATCCACCACATACAAAAAAAGAGTCTGAGACTAACCACTATAATCCTAACTACTAGGGAGACCAAGATCTGTTAATCCCAGTTCAGAGCCAGCTAAGGAAGACAAATCCAAGAGATTCTTACCTCCAATTAACCAGCGAAAAGCCAAAAGTAGAAGCTGTGGCTTGAGTGGTACAGTGTAATCCTTGAGTGAAAAAGTTTGGGCCCCAGGATGAGCACCAAAAAAACCCAAAATCTTTCCATATATTTACAATCATTCTGTCTGTAAGAACTGCTCACCATACTCCTTCCTTTTTAATT